ACATGACGGAGCCGGAGACTCTGGTGCCGCTGGGGCTGGTCTCGGCGCTGGACGGTCAGGCGGTGCTGGCCGGCGACCCGCGGCAGCTGGGGCCCGTGCTGCAGAGCCGCTACGCCGCCGCCTGGGGACTCCAGGTGAGAGAGACGGGCGGGGACTCCAGGTGAGAGAGACGGGCCGGCCGGAGCTGGGGAGCTGGGGGCCCATGTTAACTTGACGCTCCATGGATTGATTAACGGCCCGCTTCTCGTGAATGTCTTCAGTCAAGTATTTCTTTCAGTTGAAGGTAAAATTAACACTGAGGTATAATCTGACCCGTCAACCGTTCCGGCCATGTTAGTGGTAACCGTTGGTACTCGTGTCTTTATTCACTTACCCGTCCGCTCACCAAGTCCTCCCGTACTCTCGCCGGCAGACGTCGATGCTGGAGCGCCTGTCGCTGAGGCAGCTGTACGGACGGGACGCGGAGAAATTCGCCGACCACGGCTGCTACAACCCACTGCTGGTGAGAAAATTCGTCGCTATGAGGAGCTCAAATAGCATCAGCTTTTTAGGAGAGGCACGTGATTTTCGCTAATATGTGGGCCGTCGGAGCTGTTCGAGATAATCACATTAGTAATTATTCGATTGTTTAGGGCTTTCGGCCATCACTCGTTACTTCAATTACGAAGTCGTTATATCATGCAGCTGATTACTGTGTTGAGTATTGAGTTGTGGCCGGTAGTTTTCTCTGGCTGACAAAATGAGACTATGACAATGACGGTTCATCGCTTAACCCGACCCGCGTTATAAGTTCGAGTTGCAACTTGTCCCTTCTGACCGGGTAACCTCTCTCCTCCCGCCAGGTCACCAAGCTGGTGAACAACTACCGCTCTCACCGGGAGCTGCTGACGGTGCCCTCCCGGCTGTTCTACGACTCCGAGCTGGTGCCCTGCGTCGACGCCGAGGCGGCCAACAAGTGAGGACGGGAGAGCTGGAAGGGGTGCGCTTAATTGCTGTCTTGCAAAGACATGACTGATTCGCATTTGAGAGCTACAGCCGGAATGTTTACCGAGACTCCTGGCCTGCTTCCGTTATGGGACGGCCCGCGGAAGGGGTTCACCCCGTTCGTTCCAAAATCGTTGCCGCCTGTGAGGTTTGAACTCACGACCCCTGGTTTACGAGACCAGTGCTCTACCACTGAGCTAAGGCGGCGCGCGTGCGAGGGTGTGGCCTTTTACAATAAGAACCAGATAGCGGTGTTGTTAGGGCATCCTCTGTTGTGAAAATTACGGTCCGGGCGGATCGATAAACTCGCCAGAGGTCCGAGCATCGGGTCTAGTATCGATCGGCTTCCGCCTGCCGCGCCGATCGATACGGTTTGGTCTGTTACGAACATCCCTCTGCGAGTGGCTGGTCCTCGCTGGTCTCTCGACGGTCCCCAGACCTCCGGGCGTCCAAGCTGACCTATGACAGGTCAGGGGGTGATGTGTGACCCCTCGCGGATGACCCCTGACAATCGTCCTTTCCACCATTGCTGACCATCTAGTAGTATCGTCTGTCATCTGACCCCTTGGAGATGATCTTTCTATTAGCTTCCTCTGTTGCCATGACCGTGATCTCTGACCCTCGGTGACCTCCTCTGACGCTCGATGACCCGTCTGACTTGCAGGTGGTGCCGCCTGCCGTTCCTGCCCCGGCCCGGGTTCCCGATGTTGTTCCACGGCGTGCGTGGGGAGAACATCCAGGAGGGAGACAGCCCTTCGTGGTTCAACCCCACCGAGGCCTTCCAGGTACGGAGAACGCTCAGCTGAATGCACTGGGGGAGCCAGCCGCGTGATTGGAGGACTTGTGGGCGCTAAAAGCTGAGCTGCTTGACTGGAAGTAAACAAACTTTTGCAGGGGCGTGAGTCCAGCCGTTTCTTTAGTCGCTGATTTGGTTCAAAATTCAGAAGTGGTCTACGGGAGTGTCTCGCGTATTCGATGATTGGCTAGCTTCGTTTTATCTCCCATCATGTTTGGGTGAACATTAAAATGGCACGCTTACGCGAGCATCTTTATATTCATCTTTATTGATGAGTTTTATGTCCTTTTGTTATTATGAGGTAGACTTATACAACCAGTATAACGCCTTTTGGGGCGACTAACGGAGCGAGCGAGAAGGTGGGCCTTGCACGTGCGAAATAGCGAGGGGTATAACCTCCAACTGACTTGTGCACGGCACCTTACTAACCGGTCTCTAGCGATGTGCCAAATTTGGGCACAATCGGCCCAGCCGTTCTCGAGATCTGGAAGCGGCACCCTGCTCGTGCGCACGTGCAAAATGGGTCCAAACTGACTTGTGACAAGTAGTTAGTATTATGAGGTAGACTTATACAACCACCAGGGTTATGAACCGGATGATGAGACTTCGATAGCTTCTTTTCTCATGACAAGTATTTAGTATCACATCAATCACCTTCTCGATAATTCTGGACTCTGAATGGACGCCATACAGCACTGCCGTTGTGTCGCCCTTAATCACAAACCACCACAGCCGCCTCTGACGCTCTCTTTGTGCCACACCAGGTGATCCGGTACCTGCAGAAACTGGGCTCGGCCGGAGTCGACTGGGACGAGGTGGGCGTCATCTCGCCCTACAGAAAACAGACGGAGAAAATCAGGGAGCTCATGACGACATTCGGCCTGCCCACGGTCAAGGTAAGTGGTCGAGAGCTTACCTAACTCGAGAGCAGCCCCGTATCCACTGGTCGACATATACACGTACTTTGGCAATGCTGTTCTCATCTGGGTCCTGGGATTGAATTTACTGGCTGGTGTTAGTTTGATTATGCGCAATTTTCTTCTGACTGTGTGCTACCAGAGTTAACCCGGATAAACCTGTTCTAACAAGTCTTCAGAGTCGCGTCTCCTGACCGTTTTGGGTGATTTATTACCTGTCATTTCACCGGCCTCGGAGCGGATTCACGCCGCAGTACGTGGCAGACCGGTCTATTCGCTGGTCGGCCCGTAGTTGACTGGGAGAATTAGTGACGTCATTGGACCACTGTCACCAGTCAGAAGCGCCCGAATGTCGTTTCCAAGCTATTTTGCTATGACTCGATCTCCACAGAACTTGTGCAGCATATGCACTAAAATGTAGGGACAATTTAAATCCTTGTAACTGGTAACCAGTAACCAACTAAATTGCGGTATAATCATCCCGAAATCGACACCTTTCCCCCAGGCCTCAGCGCCGCCTCCCGACTCCACTGGTCGTGACTGCCACCTCTCCCCGGCGCTCCCGTGTCTTGTCTGTGCAGGTGGGCTCGGTGGAGGAATTCCAGGGCCAGGAGCGCGAGGTGATTGTGCTCACCACGGTCCGCTCGTCCTCCGTCACACTGCAGCACGACGTCATCTACCGGCTCGGGTTCATGCAGGTGGGCGCGGCGGTCGGCTGGCCTGTGCTAGACGCTTCTCGCCTGTTTGTGGCTTTTGATCGAGAATCGAGACTGAATCTGAGGTTGTCAAAAAATGCCCTGATTACCTTATCGCTATTCTTATCTGATGCAATGTTTCTTTGTATTGAGTGTTTCATGAAGACCTGCGGCTGTCAACAGGTTATGTATTCTACCCAAGAGCATTGTCCACATTGGCTGTCGTAGTTCGCCGTTAATTTTCCCGGTCCTAGCCGCTGACATTGCCCCTCTCTCGCTTACAGAGCCCTCGTCGGTTCAACGTGGCCATCACGCGAGCCAAGTGTCTGCTGATCGTCATCGGAAACCCGGAGCTCCTGGCTGCCGACGAGCACTGGCGGCATTTAGTGGTGCACGCCGTCACCAACGGAGCTGCCATCGGATGCGAGGGAGTGCTGTAGGCCCGGGCTGGACGGCTGCGAGGGTGTGCTGTAGGGCTGGACGGCTGCGAGGGTGTGCTGTAGATTTGAAAGGCGCCCGAACGGCTGCGAGGGCGTCCTATGGGGCTAGAATTCCCACCGGCTGTGATATGGCTCACCGAGAGGAACTGTTCGCTGCAGTGCTCCGGAGAAGTTGACGCAGATGTCGAGACTATCACCGGCAGCTCAAGTGAGCGGGACCGAACCTATCGGAGCGTCTACGGCTTGACGGAACCGTACGACTGTGCGCCTACAGTGTTTCTCGGATGGGACCAACTGGACCACCGAACGTAGTCGACCGGCTGTGGATGAGTGCAAGACCCGGCCGTAACTGGTACGGGGCGGGTCGGACAGATCGGAGGGACCTGTTGCCGTCCGTCGGTGGTGTCCGGGCCCAGTAGTTGCTGTTGCGACCCGGGACTGGAATTGGACCATCCCCCCCCCCCCCAGTGAACCATCGAGCCGCCTCGACTGTCCTGTTGCACCTGCCAGTATTTGAACCATCGCCAGCGCAGCGGCCAAGTAGAGGAGTGTGCGACACATTCTGATATTATAGCCGAGTTCGCGCCGTGTCTTGCCTTCTCTACGTGTTTGATATTTCTGCGGCGGTTAGCAATCGCTCGCATCACCCGCTTTGCATTGGTGTGCTTCTTTGTGTTCAATGCTGATGACATTGTGGAAAGGCTATATAGCGAAGGTTTACCAATCCCGCCGGGTGAACAGTTGCGGCTGTGCGAGCGAGACGGACCCGCCCGCCGTTGGCTGTGAAGTGTTTGCGGGTTTGTATCTGCCCAGGCCCGGCAAAACATGTTTGGTGTTGTAGCCGATAAGAGGGCATACCACGTAGCCACTTCGGGGCATGATTAATCACGAGTGACGAGCTAACTTTGGCTCACAGCCGACTGACGCGAACCGCTTCTCTGGTCGACTGTCGAACGGACCGACCCGTCCCGATCTCACCGATAATTCGCCTCATTTTCCGCGACCCGCCGCCGACTTCGCTGCCTCAGTGTCTGCGCCGAGCGTGTGTAGTTGCAGGGATCACGATACCAAACGGCCTGTGGGGATGGAAACCCCCGCAGTTGTAGATGTGCCCGAATGAAACATTGTGCTCCGATCGGCTTGTATCTTCGGACAGCAAATACAGACATATCTTACCAGCACACTCTGTATTCAGGCACAACTCATCATTGCACTGTGAGATGAATGACGATGATACAGCCGGCCAAACCGCCGGCGAAATATATAGGTAAAATGAGAGCACTGAGGAGCCACCAGCCACCAAGCACCAGCACTTAACACCGAGAAACAGCAGCCATAGTTCCACACTTGTCCCGCATAACCCTCTGCAGCTTCCCCTCTCCCTAGGGTCACCACTGTTCCCCACCCCCGGATGGACGGCATACTTCGCCACACTGTGCGCCACACGGCTTACAACCCTCACTATCAACTCCGTGTCTACAAAAAGGACGTCCAGCCACTTGATCTCAGGCCATCGAACAAACTCAAATCCCGAAGTCTCCCGTAAATTCATGCATCGTTTACCCCCTGCTCCGACTCCAAGTCCAACTGACTCGGTCGACACATTACTCTATGGAGCTCAGGACAGATCACGGCTTAGGGTTGACTCCTCACAGTATACCACTTCTCTTAGTACGAAGAAATTCAAGAGCCGACTGGACGGCTAGAAACCAACAAACTTTACTGACCACAGGTAAATTCAGGAAACACTATAGATGCACAGACTGAGACAGGCAGTCTCTCATCGTACTACTTTATTCCGTTCAGCGTTAAAACAACGCCGGGAAACCTAGATGCCCATTCACGCCGCGAAAATTGCGGCCAGAACAGCTACCGCGTCGCACCACCACCCATCCAATGGCACGCGGCATGTCTTTTACGTCCTGTCTGTGGTGATTGTGAGCCTTTGTCTTATGAAAAAACTAAATCGCGAATCAGCATCACAACCTCGCCACAATCAGTTTTTGCCTTGCCGGCACCAACATCCCATTCGTTCACTAGTCGCTCATGAGGCCGCGGCACCGGCTGTATTGTAGCAGTTCGTATCACACCCTGTTCCCCACCAACACTAACGGGTTTCCCTCGGAGCCGGGTCCCCCTCGGAGCCTCGAGCCGCCGACAGGTCCGCGTGGCGGCTAGAGGAGGATCTCGTTCTTGTAGCTGCGCACCAGGTCCTTGTGCGGCAGGATGATGCAGTTGAGGACGATCTTCTCAGAGGCAACGTTCACGTTACACCCTGTGCGGGCCAGAGAGAAGATTGAAATTGGGTTTCAGAGGAGTCAAGAGGTTACAGTTGTAAATAAAAACGAATTGTGACACAGCAGATGTGAAATTGGGTTAACATTAATGCGCCCGAGCATAGATCGGATCACCGCCGGCCAGCTATCAGGCGCAAATTAAGCTTGCTGCAGCTCAAATATGAACAGTTCGCAACAAGCATCGTCGACAAGCACGACGGACCCTAGAAAATCAACCCTTGCAAACCCACACCATCCCATGTAAGCACGTACCGAGTATGGTGATGGAGGGGTTCAATTTGCCGTCCCCGTTGAACAGCGGCACATTATCCATCTTGGCGAACGGCTTGTTCGGGTCCGGGTCGCACGGGGTGCCCTCGATGCGTGACCAGGCCCCGACCACGCTGTCCCAGCCGAGGATAGAGTGCAGGACCAGGGAGTGTTCGCGGATGCGCGCGCCGCCGAGCACGATCGACTCTCGCACGCGCACCCCCTCGCCCACCTCGGCGTTCCGGCCGACACTGACGTTGGGGCCCAGCTGGGGGGAAATGGCGGGGGAGCGTTAGAAAGAAATAGTCAAGCAGAAGTCCAGTAGAAGTTGCATCCTATTCACATATTATTAGTGAACCTTGCCAACACACCATCCATATGTCTTAAGGCTGCCGTCCACTGTGACGGAATTCCGTCCGGAGTCCGTCAAGAATGTCGCCGCACGCTGACCGCATCCGGACAGCAGACGGAAAGCTCGCGGACACTGGCTAACACTTTGTGAAGAGCAGTTATCAGTTATTTCAAAAGAAAATATAGCAATTTACTAGCATAACATAGTGCTGCCATGTCAAGGAAATTATGTTTACTTACTTCATCTTGAAAGAGTTGAAATTCTTTCTTAAATTTGCAATTGAAAACTCGAAGACGGAAGACCGTCCCTTTCCGCATCCGTTCCGTCTGCGTTCTCCGCAGAAAAGTTCAACATGTCGGACTTTGTCATTTCGTTTCCGTGGCAACCGCTTCCAAAACGCTTGCGGAGAGCTGACAGAAAATCAACAGCTGATTGCCGTTCGGATGCGGTCCGCACGAAGCGCGCACGCTTTCCGTGCGGACCGGATGCGCCCATAGGGTTCTGTGTTAAATTCCGTGCGGACCGCAAGCGTTCCGCATAGTGGACGGCGGCCTTAATACACTGAATTTCCGCTCCAGTCAGGTGCCTTCCCCAGTCAGCATACTCATTCAACCCACTCTCCCCTCATCACACGACCCTTCCTCCGCTCCTCCCCGACCCTACTCGACCCCGCTCCCGGCTCCGGCAGGTCACCACCGGCACCGTCCCGTTCAACTCACCACGGCAGTCGGGTGGATGGTGGCTGTCGGGTGGATCCACACGTCACCAATGATGGTGCACGGCTTACCGTCCTCTGCCAGCGGGGCCTGCAGGGAGAGCGGCAGGAGGCCGAGGGTCAGACACGGGAACAGATAGTGGGAGACACACGGACTGATTTACAGAGGATGTTTATTTTCATCATTATACACCCAGTCAAGGTCACAAGGTCAGTGGAATACTTGTGGGCAATGTTATCGTCATGCAAAACAAGGCACATCGATACGTGTGCTTCCACTCATTGATAACTCGGCATTAATTTGTGGCTTAGCCTATGACCTAAGATCTAAGCTAACTGTCGCATCCAATGTTCCCTCACAAGTGACTCTATCTGAGAGTTAAAGCGGTAGCGACTGCCGGCTGGCGCCCGTTCCCGCGCACTCACCCCGTTCTCCCGGTAGAGTTTCAGGTAGTGTCGGTTACTGTAGAGCGCCGCCGAGGCCGTCTTTATCTGACTCCACCAGCGCGACGTCTGGTAGACAAACACCCTCCCGGAGCCGGCCAGCGGCGCCAGGATGTCCACCTCCAGACTGATGGTCTCCGACGGAGGGCCCTCCTCGAAATCGGCGCTGAGATAGCCGGGGAAGCGCGGTTAGAAATGGGAGACGGGCGGGTAAATTGGTGGAATGTTGCGCATTAACAAAATAAACGAAACGCAAATACGCGTGAAATTAAAAAAGCAAAACCATAGACACGCTATAACCAAGAACAAAAATAAACTAAAATAAAATAAAAATGGAATGTTTATGCGAGGGAGATAGTGTAAAGAATAATAATTTCAATTTTGAAACTTTTCATCACATCATTGACATTAAAAACATCGAAACAAGTCGGACGCACGCGATGCAATATAAAAAAAAAATGCCGTCACTAAAAAAGCAGCGCCCCACTCACCTGTAAATTTCCTCCTGTTTCCGTTTGAACACGGTGCCGATCTGCTGGAAAATATCGCTGCTGCATATGTAGATCCCCGTGTTAATTAGCGTCGACACGAACGTCTCGGGCTTCTCGGCGTAATGCAGCACCGCGTGGGTGGCGCGGTCCTCGGCGATACAGCCAAAGTTGACCGACTGCTGGCGCGTGGCCTCGGTGGCCATGACGGTGAGCAGCGCGTCGGCTGGCCGCTCGCGGTGGAACGCCAGCAGCCGGTCCAGTCGGAAGTCCCCACACACGTCCCCGTTCAGCACGAAGAAGGCGTCCGGGCCGCCGGCGCGGATCTGGTCGCGGAACTGGTAGAGGCCGCCGGCGGTGCCCAGCGCCGCGTACTCCTGCAGGTAGCGCACGGCCACGCCGTACCGGGCGGCCATCTCGGCAGCGAACTGCTGCAGCTCCTGCGCAGGGTAGGCGCCCAGGATGAGCACCTCGCGCAGCCCGGCCACGGCCGCGCACGCCTCGATGTGGTGCTGGATCACCGGCCGGCCGGCCACGGGGAACAGCGGCTTGGGCACTTGCAGCGACAGCGGCCGGAACCGGGTGCCTGCCGACAGACACACATACTTTAGGTGAGAGGATTTAGTAGACAGGCTCATTGTAAAATCATACCACTGGGCAGTTGGGCACTGAATGATCACATAACCACAGCCTGAAACTGCCATTACAAAATTTCCATACCTTTTTGTGGTCCACCAATGAGGATGACTGCCTTCAGCATGATTGTTTTAAGTTTCTTGCACAATTTTTAAGCACCTGGAAGAAGAATCAGAGTCATGACTTGGTATAATTAATGTAATCATTGACCCTTATTCAAATGATTCTTAGTGATAATTACTACTTTCCATGGGGTATTTTGTGTAGTCAGTGCCTGTGTGAAGCAGAGCAATCCATGGTGCTATGTGGAGCTGCAGAACTAGACTGAGTCCTTCCCAAGTTGATGATGCATCAGAGACAGCCCACTGACTATAAAAGACCAGATACCTTGCTAACATTCTTACAACTAACCAGATACCTACTCACTCAGATACCAAACTACTTATCAGGTAACTACTTACCTAGTTATGGGTGCAGATTAACACTTATCTACTAATTTCTAGCATTTTTAGCCTGACGTCTAGCCTTGCCTTACCTAAAGATAACAGTATTTTACGGCCATGAAGTGTAAAGCCGGTGGAACCCAACCTAGGCAGGCTCCTAATTTCTACCTTTGCTAAGCCTGTGTGACTTAAGAAAATGCAATGGTTGACAGTGCACCAGTTAGCATTAAATCATGCCTGGAAAGCATTCAGAGATGGAGTGAAAAGGGCCTCAACTGAGCAGGCCATTTATCATTTACAAACGTGATGCAAATCCATTTCAGTTTCACCTTGATTTTTTTGTAAGATGTTAAGTGTTGAATCAAATCTAAAAATCTATAAAAAAAAATTTACAGTACCAGACAATCCATGGCTGATGCTGTAGAGAACCGTACATTTGCAATTTATGGTTTTCTCATTTCTACAATCTGAAGCTTTCTTCCGAGACAATCCCACTTCTCCTTGCTGTTTTAACCCGCGCCCCACTGGGGGGGGCTATCTATAGCCCCCCTCCCGTTTTTCTGCAATAACTTCCAAACCGCGTGACGTATCGACGCCAAACTTTCAGTACCTTAGGCTGCATCAATTTGACACCTTGTGTCAAAATTTGAACTTCGTACCTACTATAGGTCGGACGGAAATGACGTCAGAGTGACGTCATGTTCGGCCGATTTCGACGCAAAACATTGAACCACGACAATCGCTCCCAAGAGCTCAGTTTTTAGGCTAGATCCAATTTCTTTGCATGAGAGGACTCAGAATAGACTGCGATATCAAACTGCTATCTCGGATTTTCGAAATTTTGAAAATTTTGAAAATTTGATATAATAATATCCAAAATTTATATTTTTACATTTTTTTCAAAAAGTTTTTGACTTTTCGAAAAAACCGGAATATATGTGATAGAACGCATTATTATGACTAACTCTAGCAAGTTTTAGCTAAATATCTTCAAAAATGGCCAAGTTTTACGCATTATTGCAAAAATTCACAATTATTAATTTTTCAAATCAATTTTTCAGCACGTATTTGACACCGTACGCCAATATAAATAGCACCATCGTGTTCCTGAGCTCAAACTGCATCCAATAGACGCCTTTTTATTGAAAAATTTTAACTTCAAAATTTGACCTTTTTTGACCTGAAAGTGACCTAACATAAGCTAAATTCGACTCAAAATGACCTCGAATGACACAGACGACATCAAATTCGAAATATCTGACCTAAATGGACCATAAAACATGTGTCACGTGACCGACGCATGATATCAGTAGGTGGAACTATGGTCATGAGTACCCAAATATAGGAACGTTCCCATTTTTGGGAACCATTTTTGGGAACGGAGTTCCCAAATATGGGAACGGGCGTTCCCATTTATGGGAACGGAAGGTAATTTTTCGGCCGTTCGCCCACTAAAACTCATTAGTGCATCACGTTTCAAAAAAGTGCACGCTAATTTAAGTATCTACTAAGTCTCTATAAAATTACCGTAAGGTGGGGCTATTTGAGACAGTGGGGCTATTTGAGACAGTATTTAAAATCGTTATAAAATAAAAACCGTTTGAAATTTATGCTTAATTTTTGCTCAGGCGAATTTACTGCTCGATTCCACACCTTCCTGAGCAAAAATATCACATAAGAATCAAACGCTCTTCATTTTATAGCGATTTTAAATAGGTACCGTCTCAAATAGCCCCACTGTCTCAAATAGCCCCACTTTACGGTATCTTTAATCTGACCGTTGCACAAGGACATTGACCGTCGAATGATATTTTTAATGATTTTTTGAAGTGACGGAATGGTGAAAACATGGGTTATACTACATTTAACTTTCAATTTTAAGGAAAATGAAGCGTTTTTTACATTTTGAGGTCAAGTATAATAATTTTCGCCTGGTTATGAAGTTTCATACTAGCGACACCAGATGCTGACATATGCAAGCGAACACGCGGACAGTCCGGGGGTAATATTGGTGACATTTGGTGTCGGGGCGCACGACCGCATGGAACGTCAGTGATTTTACCGAACTACTGTTGTAAACTCAGTTTCAGTGGTTTAAAATTATTCAGCTGTATTTTATCATCCCAGAAAGACATATTTTATTTGGATGCTAGCTGTTTAGAGTTGTTTTATAAGGAGCGTTATGAGCGTGGTTTTTGTCTTCCGTGTTTCTAAGCGTGATCGTTTTGGGGGAATTTCTCTTATATAGGTCGCTCTGTGTGGCTTATTTATAATTTTTATGCTGATTTCGATCATTCCTCGTGCCCATCCTACCAGGCCTTTTGCCACTTACACTCATCAAGAAAGGAAAAAAACTAGATTTTCATTGGGACTAGGTGTTTTGAGGGTGGAACATATTCAGCGTTCCCATTTTTGGATACTTCCTTGTGCTCGTCAACTATCGGTGATAAACAGACAGGTGCTTGACATGTCTCCACCCTCGGCGCGAACGGTGGATATAGGTATGGAAGACCTTGTTGAACATCGCTGAGCGTTGTGAATTACGTAATCCTGCAGAGGGGGGCGTGCCCGCTGCGAGATCGACGGGAATAAAAGCGCAGAAGACCGGGCGAAACATGCGACGGTCTTGCCGGAAAGGTCATCTGATGATTGTTGCGTTAACAATAATTTGCGGCGTTGGACGTGATGCTTGTTAATGAAAAGAGCCCCTGAAAGGCGTCGGTGAAATCGTTCCCAATTTTGGGTACGCCGTTCCCATAATAAGGAACGCTTGCAGCGCCAGTGTACGAGAGCGTTCCCAAATTTGGGCTCGCGGCCCGGATGATGGACCGCTTTAGAAATAGGGGAACGATTTGAAACTACGATGGGCCTTAGGTACAATATCAAACTCTTTCCCAACAATATTGAGACAAATATCAGGCGGTTCACGATCGTTTTATATTTTTTGGACGTCATTTAACGGTTCTTTTTCTTGTTTTAAATAATGCCTACATGGCGTTCCCATATTTGGGTTTATCGTTCCCAAACATGGGAACGAAAATGCGTTCCCGAAAATGGGTACGCTTGACCATAGTTCCGCCTACTGATATAATATTTTCGTGACCTGTGATGACCTGACCTTGACCTGAAAATCAAAGTACAAGTTTGGTACCCTCAGGGTAACTAGAGCATCTGTTCCCGAGTGTGTGATCCAAAAATGAGCCTGATCTGACTGGTAAGACGGCGGCCAGAGCCCAAAACGTGAATAAGCCAAAATGCTAATAATTTTTACTTTGACCTGACCTGTGACGTCATCGGTGACCTCGAGGTCAATGAAATTAGGTTTCGCTCGACAGTTTTCCGGGGCTATCAGACGCCGTTTGAATTTTGACGATCGGCCCAGTAGTTTCGGAGTTGGGAGGGGGGCTATGAATAGCCCCCCCCCCCCCAGTAGGGTGTGTTATACGCAGACCCCAGTGGGGCGCGGGTTACGTACTAAACTGATCAGAATATTCAATTTCAATAAAAGCAAATAGGTTTATGTGAGCGCTTCATGCAAGGCAAAATATTTCATGTTAAATAAGCACCTAAGCATAGCATACCACAAGCACGTTTGAATTGTGACAATTGCGGCGCAGGGGTAAAGCCAGGTAAATTGGATATTGGATGGATGGTAAATTGGATGAACAAGCCATTAGAGAAGTAGGAGAGTTTCAAGGGCGCAATATTTCCACATTGCAAGAGCAGAACGAAGCAATGATACAGTGTGTAGAGGAAATGAAGAGCAGGGAAACGGAGAAGAAGACGGAGATCAAGAAGACGTATGCAGATGTCACAAAAGTGGTAGAAGAAATAAAAGAACAACAAGAAGTCATCAAGGGTAACTCTGAAGGTATCAAAAGAGTGATACAGAACAAAGAGTTGGAAGAAAGGGCAACAAATGTGCTGATACACAATCTCCCAGAGAGAAAAGCAGAGAAAGGAGAAGACAAAAAACAGGAAGACATAGTGAAGTTCAAAGAAATAGCAGATGCTCTGGGAGTGCGAGACTTTGAAATTCAGAAGATTGTCAGATTGAGGCAAAAACGTACAACGGAGAAAGGAGATGAAAGAAACGCAAATCAGAACCAGAAAACGAAACCAAGAATACTCCTGCTGAAGCTGAGATCAAAGGAGCACGTGGAGCTTCTGTACAAAAGGAGGTTTGATCTCAAGAGCAAAGGCATAGAAAATACCTACATTACAAGGGACCTACCTCCCGAAGAAAGGGAGAAGCAGAGAAGACTGAGAGAGGAGTGGCTCAAGAAAGGGCGAGAAACCCATGTCATTTCTCGGGGGAGGGTTGTCGAAAGGAAGGGAAACAAAGTAACACAGTAAGAAGGAAAGAAAGCAGGGATGGAAGGTACAGGAAACAAACAACAAACAAGGGGTCGAAGACCGACAACCAAGAAAGTAGAAAGGTTTACAAATTGAATCTCATTAACATACAAGGATTAACAAAGCAAAAGCTGGCAGAACTAGAAGAATTGTTAGCCTACAGTTGTGACATCTTATGTATTACTGAGACCCACCAGAGATATGATAAACTTGAGATTGACAAGAACTTGATCAAGATAGAGAGCATGAGAAAACAAAAAGACAAGAAAGGAGGAGGGCTCATGTTTTTGTATAAACAAAACAGTGGTGTCGCTTTAAGTAAAGCCCCTTCAGAGAACGAAGATGTTTTGGAAGTGAGGGGAAGTATATTGAACAAACAGGTTAGGATAATACTTGTTTACATGTCAGTTGAAACAAAACCAGAAGACAAAACACGAAATGAGAAAATCAAACAAGAGCTTGAAGAGAAGCTAGAAGAAAGTCCAGACATGGCAACAATGTTGTTGGGGGATTTTAATGGACATGTAGGGTTCCTAGGAAGCCAAAAAGAGAATAGGAACGGAAAATTTGTCATTGATGTGATAAACAAAAACAATATGATTTTACTGAATGGTGATGACATATGTGAAGGCTTGTATACATGGGGAAGTAAAGAATACAGAAGTGTTATTGACTATGTGCTGGTCAACAGTAAGATGCATCAGTCTATCCTTAAGATGAAAATTGATGAAAGTCAAGAACTACTAGATCTATCAGATCACAACATGATCACAGTGTTTTTCAAAGATGAAAAGTCACTGAGTCTCAATAAAGCTAAATGGAAAGATGAATACTTCTTTAAGACAGACCAAGATTCATTGTCGGGCTTCGTGCAAGAGGTACTACAGAGAATAGAAGCTGATAACATATGCCTAAAGGAAGATCTCAATGTGATAATGAAGGATGTGGCAGAGAAATTGCTTACAAGAAGGTACAGAAGAAAAACTGACAGAAAGAATGAAAAAATCAAGGAAAAACCATGGATGACCGAAGAAATACGGAAACAAATCAAGCAAAGGAAAGCCTTCAACAGACTCAGGAGAAATGCAAAGTCAGAAGAAGAAAAGTGCAGATTATATGAAAAATATTATGAGCAGAAACGACTGACAAAGCTACTCATCAAGGAAGAAATAGCAAAGCATGAAAAGAAAGTGACTGACGAAATACGTTATAGTAGCTACAAAAGCAAGGCACTTTGGGAGAATATCAACAAACTTAAAGGAAAGCAAAAGGATAACAGTCCAGTTCGCCTATTCACAGAAGCTGGACAAATGCTGCAAGGAGAAGAAGAAAAGGAAAACTTAGCAAGTGTCTGGAAGAAAATCTATCAAAGACATGAAAACAAGTTAGAAGAAGTGTGGAACGATAGGGCGAAGCTAACCTATACTGCAGATCTGGAGAAAGAGAAACAGGACCAGATACAAATAAAAGGATATAGTTTCCCAATCACACTGAGAGAACATATGGATATGGCCATGAACAGTAGGAAAAGGATGAAGAAGATGGAAGATATACAAATAACTGAGGAAGAAGTCACCAAATGTATAGGCAGGCTTAAGAACAAGTCAGCGGCAGGACCAGATGAACTCAAGCCAGAACTATACAAAGCTTTGATAAAAAATGACAAATGCTTGAAGATACTGACAGGCTGCTACCAAGAAGTCCTCGAGAGAAGTGACACGCCATCAGAATGGAAGATATCAAGGACGAAAATGATACCAAAGACGTCTAAGCCAACTGCCAAAGACTTGAGACCAATAGCTTTAACGAATGTGTCATATAAGATCTACATGTCAATTCTAAAACAGCGACTAGAAGATCATCTAGAAAGCGCAGAGCAAAAGTTAGAGACACAAGCAGGGTTTACGAGAGGAGGAAGGATAGAGGACAACCTTTTCCTATTACAGTACTGTGTGGAAGAAAGCTTTAAAATGAAGGCACCTCTGATTGTTACTTCAATTGATTACAGCAAGGCGTTTGATTCCATCGATAGAGCTAGGATGGTAGAGGTGCTCATGAAGTACAAGATTCACCCCAAAATGATTGATGCTGTGGCAGCCACATACCAAGGAGACAGAACCTGGATTGAACTAAATGAGAACATTAAGTTAGAGATTTTAGTAACAAGTGGTATACGGCAAGGGTGTACAGGATCAACTGCCTTCTTCAAGCTCATGACTTATATCATCACAAAAGTAATGGAGGCAACAGAAGCAGGGTTCAGAAGCTGCAAATTTACGCTGCCAATCCTATTCTTTGCTGACGACGGGCTCCTGCTGAACCATTCTATTGAAGAAACAGAGACTAGCATCAGAAGACTGACAGCAATTAGCAAGGAGTGTGGACTGGACATAAACAAGAATAAGAGCAACATCATCACATTTAATCTGAAAGAACAGCACAGAAGCATAGAAGATATTGAAGTAAAAGAAAACATAAAATACTTAGGTCTGAAAGTAACAAATACAAGGGATGTGTTCAGAGGGCAGAAAAGAATCATGATTGAAAAGGCACAAAGAATGGCAAACATGACCTATTCAGTAATTGCAAAATCATGCAACAGACTGCTGATTGGTAAGACCTACTGGAAATCCCTAGCACTGCCATCAATCCAGTCTGCAAAACGTGGCAGCCAGCTCGACGAGGTGTTTGGGGCCGTAACCGGACAAATCTTCGTATGGCAATTCTTCGTCGCGCAATTCCTCGTCCGCATTTCTTCGTCCGCAAATCTTCGTCGGCGCATTTATTCGTGTCGCATAACTTCGTCTCGCATTTCTTCGTAAGCGCAAATATTCGTAGCGCATTTTTTCGTATCCGCATTTCTTCGTACGCGCATTTCTTCGTCAAGCATTTTTTCGTCCACGCATTTCTTCGTCTACGCAAATCTTCGTCCGCATTTCTTCGTCCACGCAAATCTTCGTCTGCGCATATCTTCGTCCGCAAATCTTCGTCCCCGCAAATCTTCGTCCGCAAATCTTCGTCCGCATTTTTTCGTCCACGCATTTCTTCGTCTTCGCAAATCTTCGTCCGCATTTCTTCGTCCAGCAAATCTTCGTCCCGGCAAATCTTCGTCCGCAAATCTTCGTCCGCCAAACTTCGTCCGCAAATCTTCGTCCGCAAATCTTCGTCCGCATTTTTCGTCCACGCATTTCTTCGTCCACGCAAATCTTCGTCCGCAAATCTTTGTCTGCGCATATTTTCGTCCGCAAACCTTTGTCTCCGCTATCTTCGTCTCCGCAAACATTCGTCCACAAATGTGGTTCAATAAAACCATGAAGAAATATCAGACCATCAAGTGATTGACGAATTTAATGCATGGAATGGATGATCGAAACTTTTGAAGTCAGGTAGATGAGGTCTGTCCGGTGAAGCTATTGTATTTGGGAGCCGAGAATTGAAACATTCCATATCATTTGTGTCCCGGACATTCTTTTTTCGCGGTCGATGAATGACAATACAATCTCTTGTACCCTCGCTGGCATAGGCGGCGGAACGGGGAGGGCACCGGGGCACCGTTCCCCTCTTTAATTTTGGCCTTTTAACAGTAGCCCTATGGGCGTTGCATGGAAAGAATGGGACTAAAAGTCGGCAGTGCCGTGCCCCCCCCCCCCCCCTAATTGAATGTGTTCCGCCGCTACTGCTCGCCGGACCTATTTGTTTTCTACATATACGCCGGCCGAGGGGGGCGGGTACGACCCCCCCCCCCCATCGCCGTTTCGCCACTGGTGGAGCTAGCGCGTCGCGGAAAAAACGAGCGTGTGCGCCGTTACGAGACGCAGAGGTTAATACCCGATTTTAAGGCCTTCTAGGTCAGGGGTCGGCTTACAGCCCGCGGGCCGGATCCGGCCAGGAGGGTGACGGTTGGATCCGGCCCGCGACCATCTGACGTCCGGCCCGCGCAAGTTTTGTCTAGAAGTAGAATTAGACAAAAACACCCGCAAATGGTGTTTATAAACTCATGAAGTGTGCGAAGGAAGAACTATTGTGCCAAAGCACATTTAAGTCACTTTTATATCGGAGTCGATTTCTGAAGGAACCGCGGGCCGGAACACGATGTAAGTCGATGATACCAGCCGCGGGCCGGACGTCAGATGGTCGCGGGCCGGATCCAACCGTCACCCTCCTGGCCGGATCCGGCCCGCGGGCCGTAAGCCGACCCCTGACCTAGAAGGCCTTAAAATCGGGTATTAATCTCTGCGTCTCGTAACGGCGCACACGCTCGTTTTTTTCCGCGACGCGCTAGCTCCACCAGTGGCGAAACGGCGATGGGGGGGAAGGGGGGGGGGGTCGTGCCCGCCCCCCCTCGGCCGGCGTATATGTAGAAAACAAATAGGTCCGGCGAGCAGTAGCGGCGGAACACATTCAATTAGGGGGGGGGGGGGGGCTTGGCACTGCCGACTTTTAGTCCCATTCTTTCCATGCAACGCCCATAGGGCTACTGTTAAAAGGCCAAATTAAAGAGGGGAACGGTGCCCCGGTGCCCTCCCCGTTCCGCCGCCTATGCCGGCGAGGGTACAAGAGATTGTATTGTCATTCATCGACCGCGAAAAAAGAATATCCGGGACACAAATGATATGGAATGTTTCAATTCTCGGCTCCCAAATACAATAGCTTCACCTGACAGACCTCATCTACCTGACTTCAAAAGTTTCGATCATCCATTCCATGCATTAACCTTCGCCCTGGTGGGGGGGGGGGGGGCCATTTTGGCCCCCCCCCCTGTGGTTTTTCAGCGATAACTCAGAAACCACTTGAGTTAGCGCCCTGAAACTTTGTATAGCTGTTTATTCAACATTTTTACATCATGTCCTTTTTTGGGGGGTTCGGGTCAGGTCAGGTCAGGTCACAAGGTCACCAAAACTGACACCACCTCTAAAAAAGTTCAAAGCTCTCTCAAAGGCACAGCTTTTATCCGATCGATGTAAAATTTACAGTACTTGAAGATGTCACCCAGCTCTACAAAATGGCTATCTCGGATTTTTTATAAATGTGACCTAAGGTCAGGTCAGGTCATCGCTGCTCCCCATTATAAGTCAATGGGAGAATCGAAAAGTAGTTGTTTTTCAGCTAAATCGGGCGTGATTGTTCCTATATTTCGTTATTGAAGTGTCTTGGGTCAGCAAATCACAGCCCATGTGAAACCATTTGCTTGTGACCTCGCTGAGGTCACGCTAGGTCATCTCCCTGGTCACCAGAGGTCACCAGCGGTTTTTCTGCACTTACTTGTTATTGAATAGAGATAGAGACTCCGTTCGACGTTTATCGTGTTTGTCTCGTCAATGCGGATCGAATGATATGCAGCATGACCTATTTCGGTAAGGTCATGACCTTGACCTGAGGTCAAATTTTCAAAATGACCTTTCGAGGTCAAACTATATATCATTCGACGCGTCTCGACGAGCCAAGCACGATGGTGCATGAATCGTTTCTCTATTTTCTCGTGAATGCATGCTATAGTTAAAAACATTTTCAACGAAATTTGCCAAGTTGACCTTGCATGACCTCTGTGGGCCAAACCGTTGAGCTGAGGTCAAATCTGACGAACCTTGGCGAAAGAGCTTGAAAAGAGCTATCGATTGCTTTTTTCCGCGGCTCTCTAGCTCTTCTAGTTTCCGAGCTACAGCGGAATATGTCCGGCAACACCGAAAACACTGAAATTTGACCTATGATGACCTCTAGCGACCTCAATATTGACCTTAGCGAAAAAATGACTGAAATACTTTCGAACGTACTTGTTATGGGCTTTCGTTTGCTTTTTTCCGCGTCTTCCTAGCCCTCTTCGTTTTCGAGTTAGACGGGGGGGGTCATTTTGGCCCCCCCCCCCACCAGGGCGAAGGTGGCTCAGACCCACACCAGGGCGCGGGTTAAATTCGTCAATCACTTGATGGTCTGATATTTCTTCATGGTTTTATTGAACCACATTTGTGGACGAATGTTTGCGGAGACGAAGATAGCGGAGACAAAGGTTTGCGGACGAAAATATGCGCAGACGAAGATTTGCGCATATTTTCGCAAGAAGATTTGCGCACAGACGAATTTGCGGACGAAGATTTGCGTGGACGAAGAAATGCGTGGACGAAAAATGCGGACGAAGATTTGCGGACGAAGATTTGCGGACGAAGTTTTGCGGACGAAGATTTGCGGACGAAGATTTGCCGGGACGAAGATTTGCGTGGACGAAGAAATGCGGACGAAGATTTGCGTAGACGAAGAAATGCGTGGACGAAAAAATGTGGACAAAGATTTGCGGACGAAGATTTGCGGGGACGAAGATTTGCGGACGAAGATATGCGCAGACGAAGATTTGCGTGGACGAAGAAATGCGGACGAAGATTTGCGTAGACGAAGAAATGCGTGGACGAAAAAATGCTTGACGAAGAAATGCGCGTACGAAGAAATGCGGATACGAAAAAATGCGCTACGAATATTTGCGCTTACGAAGAAATGCGAGACGAAGTTATGCGACACGAATAAATGCGCCGACGAAGATTTGCGGACGAAGAAATGCGGACGAAGAATTGCGCGACGAAGAAATGCCATACGAAGATTTGTCCTGGAATCGTTTGGGGCAGCAGGAATCCTGCCCCAAATGGGGCAGTTGGCCCCCCGGGCAGTCAAATTTCTGCCCCAAATAGGGCATCTACTTGGGGCAGGTTAGATTATGCCCGAAATGTACTATATATAGCATAAAAACTACATATCAATACATCACCCGCGCAAATTTAAGTCGGTCGCGGTAATGAGACATACAATTTTTTACGAAAGGATCTGATCATTGGTTAAGGTTATATTATAGGTAGAGCGGCTAGTGTTCCGGTTAAAATGTGATGATGACGCAGTTGGGGTGCGTAACTGCCTCATGTTGCCATGGCAACGTCGAATCAATCGGCAGCGAGGGGCGCATTTCGTTTTTTGCAACCAAAGAGAGGCGCTACCCGGACAATGCCCCAATGCATCATGGAAAAACTGATACTACACCTCGTCTCGGCGATGATCAGCTAGTTGGTGGCTTGGTTTTAAGTGTGCAGAGTGTGCTCGTCTCTTAATCTGTAGGTCGCGGGTTCGCAGCCGGTCAGTTAAGCGTTTTAGCACGCGTTCATTTCTAAATGGAAATGTGGATATCATTTGGTCGGACGGCAATCATCGTGACGGCTATACAGCACATTTACGAGTGTTCTATTAGGTCAGGTTTGGTCTGGTTCGGTTTGGTTTGATTTGGTTTGGTGAGGCAGGAGGCTAGAAAGGAGTATCTCCGGGTAGCGCCTTTCCTTGGTTGCTTATACGAAACACGGCGCGTAAAACATTCATAGCCCCGATGAAGGGAAAACTCGAATATGGCAACAGTTGCGAATGACAATTTCTGCGCTTCAGCGACGTTTGTGGCGCAGCCCACTTTTTCTTGCCCGTTTCAACAATACTCTGCTTCTTTATTATTTTCCACCGGTAGCGTGCACCGGGTGCGGCTAATTGTGGGCTACGCTTTTGCGAAACTGCCAAGTTTGGCAGCCCAACTCGACCAAAGCGAAATACGCCTAGAACCATCCTGGTAACCTGTCAGACCGACTCAGAACGACTCAAACTGACTCAGACCGACTCAACCGACTCAAATCGATTCTGATCGACTCAGACAGACTCAGAACGACTCAGGCAGACTCAAACCGACTCAGGCAGACTCAAACTGACTCGACCGACTCAAACCGATTCAGATCGACTCAGACCGACTCAACCGACTCAAATCGATGCCGATCGACTCAGACATACTCAGAACGACTCAGACAGACTCAGGCAGACTCAAACAGACTCAGGCAGGCTCAAACCGACTCAGGCAGACTCGACCGATTCCGATCGGCTCAGACCGACTCAGATTGACTCAGAACGACTCAAACTGACTCAGACCGACTCAAGCGACTCAAATCGATTCCGATCGACTCAGACAGACTCAGAATGACTCAGACAGTCTGTGAGTCTGTCTGAGTCAATCGGAATCGATTTGAGTCGGTTGATTCGGTCGGAGTCAGTTTGAGAGTCGTTTTGAGTCTATCTGAGTCGGTCTGAGTCGATCTGAATCGGTTTGAGTCGGTCGAGTCAGTTTGAGCCTGCCTGAGTCGGTTTGAGTCTGCCTGAGTCCGCCTGAGTCTGTCTGAGTCGATCGGAATCGATTTGAGTCGGTTGAGTCGGTCAGAACGACTCAGACCGACTCAACCGACTCAAATCAATTCCGATCGACTCAGACAGACTCAGAACGACTCAGACAGACTCAGGCAGACTCAAACCGACTCAGGCAGACTCAAACCGACTCAGGCAGACTCAGAATGACTCGACCGACTCAAACAGATTCAGATCGACTCAGACCGACTCAGTCTGACTCAGACCGACTCAACCGACTCAAATCGATTCCGATCGACTCAGACAGACTCAGAACGACTCAGACAGTCTGTGAGTCCGTCTGAGTCGATCGGAATCGATTTGAGTCGGTTGATTCGGTCTGAGTCAGTTTGAGAGTCGTTCTGAGTCTATCTGAGTCGGTCTGAGTCGATGAAGTCAGTTTGAGTCTGCCTGAGTCGGTTTGAGTCTGTCTGAGTCCGCCTGAGTCTGCCTGAGTCCGCCTGAGTCTGTCTGAGTCGATCGGAATCGATTTGAGTCGGTTGGGTCGGTCTGCGTCAGTTTAAGTCCTTCTGAGTCTACCTGAGTCGGTCTGAGTCGATCTGAATCGGTTTAAGTCGGTCGAGTCAGTTTGAGTCTGCCTGAGTCGTTCCGAGTTTGTCTGAGTCGATTGGAATCGAATTGAGTCGATTGAGTCTGTCTGAGTCAGTTTGAGTCGTTCTGAGTCTATCTGAGTCTGTCTGAGTCGATCTGAATCGGTTTGAGTCGGTCGAGTCGGTCTGAGTCTGCCTGAGTCGGTTTGAGTCTATCTGAGTCTGTCTGAGTCATTCTCAGTCTGTCTGAGTCGATCGGAATCGATTTGAGTTGGTTGAGTCAGTCTGAGTCAGTTTGAGTCGTTCTGAGTCTATCTGAGTCGGTCCAAGTCGATCTGAATCGGATTGAGTCGGTCGAATCAGTTTGAGTCTGCCTGAGTCGGTTTTAGTCTGCCTGAGTCGTTCTGAGTCTGTCTGAGTCGATCGGAATCGATTTGAGTTGGTTGAGTCGGTCTGAGTCAGTTTGAATCGTTCTGAGTCTATCTGAGTCGATCTGAATCGGTTTGAGTTGGTCGAGTCAGTTTGAGTCTGCTGAGTCGGTTTGAGTCTGCCTGAGTCGTTCTGAGTCTACCTGAGTCGATAGGAATCGATTTGAGTCGGTTGAGTCGGTCTAAGTCAGTTTGAGTGGTTTCTGAGTCTATCTGAGTCGGTCTGAGTTGGTACGTTATCTTCTCCTACCCAGTGACGTCACAGCATGCGTCGGCTTGGCACGGCGGCCACAGGTGGGGTGCGGCTAATGGTGGTATCTCGCTTTGGTCGAGTTGGGCTGCAACTTGGCGGTTTCGCAAAAGCGTAGCCCACAATTAGCCGCACCCGCGTGCACCCCGCCCCGGTTCGCCCCGCCCCGGAATTGCCGAACTCTGCCCCGATTTCTCAAAAGCTGCCTCGATATCTGCCCCTGCCCCACTGTGTCTGCCCCGACGAGATCTCGTCGAACCCTGCCACGTTTTGCAGACTGGCCATCAATACTGTACGGCTCCAGTGTCATGACAGTCACAGAGGAAGAGACCAAGAAGCTGCAAGTAATCGAAAATGGTGTCTACAGACAGATCTTGGGGGCTCCAAAATATGCACCAAATGCTGCATTGAGAGGAGAAATTGGAGCATCTCTGATGACAACAAGGATTAAAACTGGGAGACTTCAGTACATGAGAAGCATATTGCAAGGAAAAAATCAACTACTCAAAGAGGTGTTAACAGAAATGATGGACGAGGGCAAGAACAAATGGATAAGGGTAACCTATTCCATTATTAAGGAAGTCGGACTCAAAGTAAAGGATTTGTACCAGATAAGCAAACAAGACCTTAAAACACACATGCAAAAATGGGATGGAAAGAAATGGAAGGAGGAATTGTTAACTAAAACTACTCTGTCCCTGTATATTGTCTGGAAAAAGGAGATGAAGGAAGTAACGTTTATTGACAACCAGCAAGCATCAACAATATTTTTCCAGGCAAGAGCTAACTGTCTTCCTCTAAATGAGCGCAAGAGATACAAGAAAGAAGACACAAGATGTATGATGTGCAATGCAGAAAATGAAGACCTCGCCCACTTTATATTGAATTGCCCAGCCTACGAAGAAGAAAGAAAAGAATCAATGCATCTTCAGAAACCCTATGCAAAGGATATTTTAGGGATGTTTCTGTTTGAGGAGGAAGATATCGAAGAAAAGAAAGAAGTATTGCTTAAGCTGTGGAAGAAAAGAAGACTGCTGGAAATAAAACAAATTTCTCCATCCTAGTTGACCTTCATCCTCCCAACACCCAATCCTGTCCCCTAGTGAGAATCCTAGCCACACAAACCAACCATAACAATGCAACCCATCGATCAAAGTAAAAGTTAAAGTTTAAGAAATCAAGGAGGTGCCGATACAAAGGCTAAACCTCCGAAAACCATCGCATCGCATCGCATCGGATAGAAATCGACCAAAGCCCTTATTTGCTCATTCCATGTGACAGAAAAGTTTATAATTTAGTCACAAAACATGCTAAAGCACCATTGTTAACCATAAATATCACAGGTCCGGAGTGAATGACAGTTTTACAATCCTCACTCCTCGTCGCAGCGGTTTGTTTACGTCAGCTTTTCAGTGAATAAACAATTTTTGCAAAAGACTTGTGCTGAAGGATTACTAGTGACGTCATTAGTTCTAGGCGAATCAGATGCCGCGCTCGACATCAAGTTTGATGGGCGCTATAGATGGCCCATCTATAGATGGCCTTGGATGGGCATTCTTTATTCACAGCTGAAAAAAATGATATCGTTTTGCTTTTTATTATTCCCAATTCCCATTCCACCAGACCGAGATAATCAGGCATTATGTCACATGTTAAACCAGTATAACGCCTTTTGGGGCGACTAACGGAGCGAGCGAGAGGGTGAGCCTTGCACGTGCGAAATTTCGAGGGGGTACCTCCAGCTAACTTGTGCTCGGCACCCTACTAACCGGTCTCTAGCGATGTGCCAAATTTGAGCACAATCGGCCCAGCCGTTCTCGAGATCTGGAAGCGGCACTCTGCACGTGCGCACGTGCAAAATGGGTCCCAACTGACTTTTGCACGGCAGCCTACTAACCGGTCCCTAACCATGTACCAAATTTGAGCGCCATCGGTCCAGCCGTTCTCGAGATCTGGAATCGACCCCTGCACGTGCGCACGTGCAGCAGCACCCCAACTCTGGCACATGGATATGTATTGCCTAGTGGGTGCCTACCTACATGCCAACTTTCAGCGCAATCGGCCAAGTAGTTACCGAGATATTGCAACAATTACAAAAGTGACACCTCTTCGTTTTGCACGTGGCACGTGCATAAGGGGTCACCCACATGCATCGGCAATAGTCCAATACTTGGTAGAAGGAATGAAGCTACCCTACAAAAATTACCGCGTGTAAATCGGTCAAGTGGTTGCTGAGATATAAGCCTCGCAAAAGCGTGACCACGGCCGGCCGGCCGGCCGCTCATACTCAGAAATTTCCGTTAATCTAAGGAAAGACTACGCTCGCTTCGCTCGCTCCGTAATCACTACCTCAGACAAGGAAATTATAAAAGCTGTCCAACTGGGTCTTCGCCGGTACGCCTGGCTCACACCAGCCGGTGGCAAAAACGTGACCAAAGTTATCTGGGCTGCCGCGCGGGTCATCGGGCGGGCAGTCGGCCGGCACCAGCCGACGTCGGTGCCGCAGCAGACGGTGTTTCAGCTCGGCCACCAGCGCCGGTCGCTGCGCGGCCAGGTTGACGTGCTCGGTCGGGTCCGAGGCCAAGTCGAACAGCCAGGTGGTGTTGCTGCCGGACCAGCGGTGCTCGCCGACCTCTGTGTAGCGGGCCGGCGCCAGCTCGGTCGGCACCAGCGGCCACAGTTCGGTGATGCCCGGCTCCGGGTACCAGTCGTTCTTGCTGCCCGGATAGCCCCAGATCAACTTGAAGTCGCCGACGCGGATCGCCGCGCCCGGTTTCTTCTCGACGTCGATGTTGTAGACGACCTCGGAGCGCGTGCTCGGCTCGCCGCGCGAGATGGCGTCCCACTGGTCCACACCGTCCAGCCGGTCCTCCGGGGTGGGCTGGGGCGCACCGGCCAGCCGCAGCACGGTCGGGAACCAGTCGGTGACGTGGATCAGCGCACGGCTGGCACGGCGCGGCCGCTCCAGCAGCGGCGAGTGGACGAACGAGGCGGCGCGCGTGCCGCCCTCCCACAGGGTGACCTTGTTACCGCGCAGCGGGTAGTTGTTCCCTCCGGCCAGCACCTGACCGCCATTGTCTGCGGTGAAGATGATGACCGTGTTGTCGTAGAGCCCGGCGGCGCGCAGGGCGCTCTCCACGCGCTGTACGGCGTCGTCCAGCGCCGAGACCATGCCGAGGAAGGTGCGCCGGCTCTTGTCGCGCACGCCCGGGTACAGGTCCCAGTAGCGGCGCGGCACCTGCAGCGGCGCGTGCACGCTCTGGAAGGCGAGATAGAGGAACAGCGGCCGGTCGGCCGGGTGCGTCTCGATCACCCGCTCCGCCTCTGCGGCGAACACCTCCGACGAGTAGCGGCCCTCGAACTCGCGCGCTACGCTCATGTTGCGCCGAAAGTCGAGGCCACTGCCGCCCTCGTCCAGGCCGCGCCAGTGTGTGTAGTAGTTCTCCGAGCCCGTCCAGAAGCCCAGGAACGACTGGAAGCCGCGCTCTGTGGGCGTGTACGCCCGCCGGCAGAAGCCCAGGTGCCACTTACCGACGGCGTGTGCGCGGTAGCCGGCGGAGCGGAGTTTCTCCGAGAGCAGCGGCGTGTCCAGGGTCAGTCCGGTGGGCTGCAGCGGCCAGAGCACGTCATGCTGCCGGCCCAAGGTGAACGGGTACCTCCCCGTGAGCAGCGCGGACCGAGACGGCGTGCAGATGGGCTGCACGTACGCCTGCTCGAGCGTGACTCCGTCGGCCGCCAGCCGCGCCAGCGTCGGCGCGCGCACCAGCGAGTTGTGCCATGGCACGTCGTTCCAGCCCAGGTCGTCGGCCACGATCAGCACGATGTTGGGAGGCTGGGAGGGACCGGCATCGGCGGCGCTGGAGACGGTAACGACGGTGATGAGAGTCAAAAATGCCGCCACCAGCCCCCTCCCGTATACACACACGGGAAACGGCATGTTCAAATGATTTCCACTCAACTTAACCAAGGCCCAGTCTGATGGTCCTCGCCGCTCGATCAAAGGCTTATTGCAAACTCACAGCCAACAACGGCCCCTCATGAATGACGCAGTAGCCCGGCAGAGTCACCCGATCGCACGCCGCTCGTCATGCAGTCTGAAGGTCACCGACACGCTATAGTGGAGGGCGGGCGTTGCTACGGCAGAGAACGGCCACACTGCACCCACCGCCGTCCCTGTCCGGCGGGGCACTGTGGTACGCCGTCGTCCGGGAGCCGCGGACGCGGTGATAACACCCCTTATCGACCCCTCCGCCGCACAGTGGAGTGGTGGCGGTCTTATGCGGTTAAAATGTTTAGCTGATTCAACAGAGATTGTATGAAAAACGGTACCGCCATAAAGCATAAACAGTTTTTTCGGGCTACCGTTGTGGGCAATACGCTGACAAACACAGTGGGCAGTGCTGAAAAAATGGCACATTCGGCAGGATGGACGGGACGTCGCTAGGTGGACGGATGTGGGCGCTCCAGCCGATAAGGTGTGTTTGAGTAAGCACCGCAAACACCGCGAGTTCACAGTGAGCTTGCGATAAGACAGAAACAGGCGAACGAGTCAGACGACCGACAATGGTTGGTTGTCCTATTGCACATCATAATAACTGACCATGTCCCTCTGAAAGACGTTTGCGTTTTGTATCTCTTTCAATCAAAGATTGATAATGTGCAGAAGTAGAGTGCAAAGCATGTGCTTCATACTTCTCTCGCTAGATGGCAGCAGCATCAACGCCTGACGGCAGGCTGTGCCGCAGTGCACGCCATGTTTCATACTTTACTCACTAGATGGTAGCACCGTCGGCGCCTGAAGGTAGGCTGCGCCGCAATGCCTACCCCGGTATTCTATGCTGCGGTACCGTCGCACAGCATCCGCTCGGCAGATTTGCTTGCCGTGATTAGGTTGCTTGGAAATTTTGTTTTTTTTTTTCCCTAAGTCTGCGGGCTTGTAAATCGACTTCGCGAAGCTTCTCTGCGGGGAAATAACCGGCACATTGTCGGCAGAGCACAAAAAGAACACTTCTCGGCCACAGCATAAGCACTTATCAAGATCACGATTCGGCCGATGAGCGCACCTCTGTCGGAGATCAGCACTCCGAGGCGAAAAGGAGATATGGGTTTTAGGCAGGTCATAAACGACAGCATAAAAGCGGTAGCGCCTCCGAGCTGCAGCGCCGTGGTAGGATAGGATCGTGTTTTCCGTTACGGTAGAATATGAATTTAAAATTAACTGAAAAATGAAAACAAACTTCTTTATGAATTATAAATAAGTAGGTAGAGAAGATTAGTTTCTAAAATAGTTAACGGTGAAATTTCTAGCTCAGTTGAAAATATTTATCAAATGTCTGTGAGGTAAGACAGATTGTAAACTGACCCTTCATGAAATCAGCGTACCGCGCCACTGCCAACCAGACCGGACCAAATCGAGACAGCTGCACATCCAGTATGTATTACTGGCAGTAGTCTGACCGTACCACTCTCACATACGGCTCTCATAAAGACGCGCCGCGGCCGGTCCGGCGTCCGGTGTTCACGGTGGGCAGCAGGACCCTGTGGCACACCCTGAACGAGTGCCGCTCCACCGCACCCCGGCACACAGAGCAACAGGCACCACTCGCGCTATGTACAAACAATATCGAACAATAGTGATCTTCATCTGTTTGGAAACTGCAGGGTACAGCCCTACGCTCTCTCTGAGGTTCCTCCCGCACTCCCGTAACCTCTCCCGCGGCCGCCTTTCCAGCGCCACGGACAATCACAAGCCGTTCTCGATCGCCCGCCCCACTCACTTGTTCGGCGCCTCGCGTTCGCGGGCGAGCCACCACAACAGCAGCCAATTTCAAACATCCCGCCAGTCGCGCCGCGCGCGTACTGTCATCTAGCGTCGAGCACCGCAACTAAAGCTTCCCTAGAGCGCCTGTAGGCCGGTGGCGGCCGCGTGTGCCAGCAGGGCGTCGGCGGCCTGGCGGGCCTCCAGCAGGAGCCGGGTCTCGCGGATCCAGTCGGAGGCCACCAGGCGGGGCTCGCCGCGCAGCAGGCCCATGTACTTGACCGCCTGGATCAGGTCGTCCTTGTCGATACAGTACCTGACGGGCAAAACAAACAAGGGAATCGTTTTATTGCATGGAACGGAGATGGCTTACCTTATGTTCTAAAGTACATACAGCACAAGGTCCGATAAAAACAAATAAATTGAAAGACAAATAAGCCGAAGCAATCACAGTGTAAACACAGCATGCTACGAACCACTCGGCTAGCCAAATAATCCATAACGACGAATGACATTCGCGATTATTTTCGACCCATGATGAGTTTCAGATAAAATTGGATGTCCATTTCCAAAGTTCCTGATGAAAGTGTTCCGTACCTTGCGCGTGCAATGATCTCGTACGTGTTGAGCTGCGTGGGGTTGATCGGTTCATCGCGCTGCTCTTTGCTGGGGAGTCGCTCAAAGGCATCGACCACCTGCGCAGGCAGACCAGCGATCACGGTACTGACATAGTCAACGGGATTCACGTCGAGAGGGTAAAGCAGACAGGACAGCTCTCAAGGCTTTATTGTACCAAATGACGGGAGTAAATGTCGATAATTAAAGTCTGTACAAATAAACGCCGATGTCTCTCTTACGGACAATCAGATAACGATCGGACCAGGGATAACGATCGGAGGCCAACGAACGGAATACACCGCACTCCCTGACCGCATTGGCTCACATCTCACCCAAATAAGCAGCCACCTACTAACCCCCTCCCTCCACACTCACCAGCAGCGACTGCAGGTAGCTGAGGGCGTACTTGAACAGACTGCCGCCCTCGTCGTCGATCATGCTGACCCGCTTGCAGAGCCGCTCCACCTTGCAGAAGCGCTCTCGGAGGGCATCCTCAGTGTAGACGCCGCGCTCCAGCACCACCTCCGGCAGGTTGTCCAGTACCGCGCTGACAAAACGGTTCGACTCGCCTGGCGGGGGCGAACAGGGTCAGAAATCGCAACGGCTTAGCAGTACAGGGTCAGCAATCGCAACGAATCAGCAGTGGCTCAGCACAACTGGTTTGGGTTGGTGGAATATCGTCCGATCCAGACGACATTGGTATATGAACCATGCGGAAAGTCCGGCTAATTATTGGAGCTCGGTGTAAGCCGGGCTATCTCATCCATACACAAATTATATAGAGAACAGTGACAAGACACGATTAGGTAAATGTATCGAAGAAATGAAAAATAAAACTAAGATGAGGTTTTACTGAGGCTACAAGCACTATCACCCCTTCCAGCTCTCAGCGGCATCCCGACCAGCCCCCTCTCCGGCCGGTCCTTCACTCTCCCCCTTCCCCACGTACCTGCCACCTGTCGGATGGCGGCCGCCTCGTCCCGCAGCGGTTTGAGCTGCTGCTGCCACGAGGCGGCGCCCAGCTGGCCCGTGCGGATGGCCTGCTTGAGCGCCTGGCACGAGACCCACATCTCCTGAGCGTGGTGCGCCGCCCGGTCCAGGTCGGCCCGTGCTGGAGGGGGGGGGGGGCAGGGTGAGAGAGGAGGCCCGATGAAGCATATAATAACTGTCTGACAGCACACGCCGAGATTCAGAGACAGAGCAAGGATCGATTAGCAAACAGTAGCCATGTAATTTCGAGAAAGCATACCAACCAATTATAGGAAAATAATTTCAAACAATCATGCGGCCGTTCGTTTCTAATTAACAAGCGCCGATGTCGGCCGAAACGACCAAAGACAGGAAGCACTGCAAACACACTCTCTCCTAGTCTTGGGTCAGCATAACTCCTGTCAACAAGCCCTTCCACCTGTTTGTTCGATGATGACGCTCCCCAAGGCCTACGTCAGTACACACTTAGTAAGCTCACTAACCTGTGATGGCGTCCTTGAGACCCTTGAGCTCTCCCATCACCACAGCCAGCTCTGACTGATACTGTTGTCGCTCGTCGCGCAGGCGATCCTCGTGTGCCATCTCGAACCGCAGTTTCAGCTCGCGCTCCTGGACTGACAGCACGTCCTAGGGGACAGAGACGTCCGGTTAGCGGGAAAAGTTATAAACATGAGGTGAGGGATTATAAAACACGATCCAGAAATTCATTAATTTCATCGCCATCGACCAGTTGGCAAGCAGGGCCAGTACCAACCAGCCCTGACTAGGACACACCGTAACGCCGCGAACAGCACCCAGACTGAAGACGCTGGATCAGCCCCGATTTCCCCGCCTGGCACCTCCGACTTGGATATGGTCCGAGCTAGAGGTGGCAAAATGTAGACCCGATTACCCGGTCCAAAGAACCAGTCTGGACCCATATGGGTCCAGACCGGTTCCTGGAAATTTTCTGACGGGTCCAACCGGGTCCTACCATAAACTATACATCTTGCACACTACACATTATTGCAAAATGTGAAGTGAATGAAGTGAATGTTTTGTTGCACTATAGCTCATGAGTATTCCCAGTGGGAAATAGGCTGTTTTACATGATGCAACTAATGATACCTACAAGTAGTATGTATTAATTGACTTTTGGGAACCGGGCCCAACTGGTTCCGATTCCAACTAAGACCGGGTCCGACTCATGGTTCCAGAAATGTCCAGCCGGGTCTGGTTCGAGTCTTGTTCCCAAAATTTTCATCTTTTGCCACCTCTAGTCCGAGCGGTCCCGCTAAGCCGTACCCTTCCCTCTGAAGTCTGACCTGGAGGTGGTCCGAGTGTGCGGCCGCCTGGCGTCGCAGCTGCTGCCGCATCTCGTTCTCCAGCTCGGTCTGCAGCGCCTCCAGCTGCTGTCGGTGGTGCAGCTCCACCTGGCGGTGCTGGCGGCTCAGCTCCGTGGACAGCCGCTCCTCCAGCACCGCGTCCAGCTCCTGGCGCTGCCGCTCCAGCGCCGAGCTGAACTTCTGCTGCTCCACAGTCTGCAGGGGAGCGGGGAGTTAGGGATGGAGCTGCTGGACAACCAGGAGGCTGACTGGGGGCTCATTACTGGATTGATCGTCATTGTCAGGGTATGCACACTCAGGATACACCTCGAGAATCAAGAACTTCAGGCCTGCCGAGGTTTATGATTGCCAGAAAAATAAGTGTCCGTTAATATAGTTTGGCGTAAGGAATTAGCACACGCGTGTCCTGGCGAAACAATTATACGCTTCTCACTCCTCCGGCCATCACGCGAATCCTGCGACTCACCAGCATCCTGGCGAGCTCCTTCTGCAGGTAGAGCACCTTCCTGTAGGCGTGCACGAGCAGCACGTTCAGCTCTTCCTCGGAGAGTTTGGTGTTCTTCTCTCCGAGCACCACGCCCGGGACGATGCTGGACATCTCCTGCTGGAATTTGGCGCGCGACTCGTCCACCAGCTGTCGGAACTCGTCCATCACGCGCGCCTCGCTCAGCGCCGCCGCCACCTGACGGACCGACCACCCAAACGGAAACTCAGAGGCCGTGACATGTGACTGCGATGATACATATATTCGGTATAATTTTGAGAAATCAAATCATTTTGAGCTTTGAAAAAAAAATCATGGTACGTTTTGACAAACAGCCACAAAAAAACGAAAAACACGCAAATACTTATTCATTATGTATTAAATAACCCCTACACATAACCTGTGTTATGAAGCTGAAGTTTCGAAAAGAGCACACAACGAATGACTACCAGTTCACGATACATCGCCCGTCTCTCTCGATCGACCCCTCCCGAATCCCGGCCGTGCCGGCCCGTCGTCTGACCTTGTTTTTGGCCGTCTCCAGCCGGTAGTAGGCGGCGGCCAGCGCCTCCTGGACGGGCGTCAGCTGATCGTTGGTGGCCGTCACCTTGTTCCGGCGGGAATCCTCCACGACAGAAGACAGCTTGTCCAGGTACTCCCTGATGGACCGGCGACAGTCACCGTCAGTCATATCGAGTCAGTCACATACGGTCACAGTCACAGTCAGTCACTTCCATTCAGTCATATCGAGGCAGTCACAGTCACTCAGTCACTGCAGCACACGTCACTGTCTGAATCGCAACCAATCGCAAAACTCCACAGCTATACAATTTATTTACACCCCTAAGTCCTAATTCCTAACCATCGTCAGGCAGCCTGTGTCCAGAATTACACGGCGCCCATATAGTCTTCCAGCTCCTGTCTTTTACTCATGTCATGTCTCGTCTCTCCCTCCTGCTCTCGCTCGCTCACCGCGCGTTCTCAGCCAGCTCGTCTGCCTTCTTGCAGATCTGCGCCTTGATGTCTGCCGAGTCCTTCACCTCGGACCAGTCAGCCTCCGTGGCGTCATCGAGACTGCGGAACACCCGCTCCACGTGACCTGCCGCAAGGCGGATGCACAGGGTCACGTGATATATCAACTCGGTATAACCTGCTCCACGTGACCTGAGGCACAGCAGACACACAGAGTCACCTAATCTAACAATACCGGAGGCGAAAGTAACAAATAAGAGAGGGTCGTCACATCCAAACGACGGACTCGTCTAGTCTAGGATAGGCAAATAACCAGGTGAATCATTATTCATTACATCTATAAATTCAACTCGCTTTTCAGATGTCAAAAATAAACAAAGAATGAAATGATTACCAATCCTCTGAGCTGATTTTTAAGTGTAACTTCTATGGATCGCTAGTTACAATAAGGAACTTCACCTACGAAATACACCAGCATGGTCCCTCCATGTGACAAATTCATCCGTCTACACACGCATAACCCTCCCTCCCGTCCGACCCCCCCCCCCCGTTCAACGCACCGACGACGGCAGAGGCGGCGCGCTGCTGAGCGTCGACGGCCACGTCGAGCGCCATCTGCGCCTGCTGACTCAGCTCCTTGAGCAGGTTCTCCAGCGCCAGATTCTCCACGGCGTGGTCGGCCTCCAGGGCGCGGGCGCGCTCCTCGGCGGCGCGCGCGGCGTCTGACGGCACGAAGGGCGGGAGGGAGTCAGACCACTGGTGGGTTTAAGGGGATGGCATGGTGAGCCACTGGAATTCGCTACAACTGCATCAAGACATCGGATAGATTACAAAATTGAAGTTCATGACGATGCCTATCCGGCCTCCTCCCCTACCTTTTATCAGTAAATTGAAAAAGTCTACATTCGGTCATTCAGGAACATAAAAACATAAGAAGCCTTCAGCCAAACAGACAGGATCAGTGGACATTACAAAGCGAAGCTTGGCCAAAAGGCGTCTAAATCAAACACGCAGCAAGTATCGCATTTGCCAATCCCTCGCACACTAATAACAGTAGCACTAGCCGCACCTACCTTCCTCCGCCGAGCTCTTGGCCTCCGCGGGCGCCGCCTCTGAGGGCTGTTCGGCCGCCTCCGCTGGTGGGGAGGCCTTGGCGTCTGACGCCGGCTCCACCGCTGAAAGACACAGGAACAGACTGGCGGGTTAGACGGGAACAGGAAATGACATCGGCATCGATAACTGAGGTATAAACATGAGTTGCAAGTGACAGACATTGGAGCGCTGGCAAACCCACCTTCTGACTTGTCGGTGGATTTAGCAGGCGCCGAGTCGCTGGCCACCTCCTTCTTTGGTTCCGACTTCTGAGCTGGCTTTTTACTGAAAACAAAATTAGAATGCTGCTCTAGCATAATGATCACCTGAGCAGGACAAGCTTTATATCAAGATATGGTTGAAAGTAACTGAATTATGCGTAACGTTTCAGAAAACTCGTCCTCTCACTCGTCATCTTGGGACATTTCTCGGACCTCCCATCAGTGCTGGAAATGAGGCCGCTTTCTGGTCCCGGCGTTTTATTCTCCGGGTGGGTTAGCCCCGTCTAGCGCTTAGCCTTTCGGGACCCTCTCAGAGCCGCGGTTGTTTTTGCCGCTCGGCCCATTCGAAATACAAAGTTGATAGTCACACGAAGTTTATTTGGGGCCTCTGAATATACTTCGAAATTAATCGATTCTACAAACCCTTTTTCTTTCAGCTAACTATATGCATACATTTAACAGTAACTCCAGACTAGGCTGGTTTGGCTGGCCCTAAATAAGCTTCGTGTGACTATTAACTTTGCATCTCGACTGCGACGAGCGGCGAAAACAATCGCGACCCTGAGTGGGTCCCGAAAGACTAAATGCTGGACGGGATTAACCCGCGCCCTGCTGGGGGGTGTTTGAACCCCCCCCCCTTGTGGTTTTTCGCGAATATCTCAAAAACGGCGGCGCGGACCTTATCATACATCAATTCTACACATGCTGTGAAAATTTCAGTCCAAGGTCATTCAAGGTCAGGTCACCAGGTCACTTGAAGTGACCTCACCTCATAAAAAGTTTCAATGGCTGTCATAGCTACACCGAGTGACCGATCGCTTTGAAACTTTTAGCGATTGCTAAGAGCAATAGCATGTACAAAATGTATATCTCAGAATTTTGATATCGGTGACCTAAGGTCAGGTCAATTTTGCGACCTCCCCACTATAAGTCAATGGGAGAAAATTGAAATGCGCCTCTTTTGGACGAAAAACATTATAAACACTCCCAAACACTGAATTACAAGTGGTTTAGACACACTGAACATGAAAATGGTGTTCGTGACCCCTGTTTATGCCCTGAGGTCATCTTAGGTCACGAATGGTATCTAACAGTTTTTCGCAAATAACTTTTGATAGAGGCATGCTAGAGCGATGAAAACGCCTTAGATGTGTTCAGCTCGACGATACGGATCGACTGATATGCAACATGACCCTTTCCGGTCAGGTCATGACCTTGACCTGAGGTTAAATTTTCAAGTTGACCTTTCAAGGTCAAGTTATAGTTCATTCGATGCGTCTTGACGAGAGGAACACGATGCCGGTAAAAGTAAGCTCGTACAAGTCTTGGGTCAAAAGTTATTGCAGAAAAACTGTTTCCGAAAAAAATCAGCTATTTTTGCAGTTTTTGCCCCCTGGAGGCAAAACCGTTGACGTTAGATCAAATCTGAGAAAATTATTCAGAAAGGGCGTTAATAAGGCTATCGAATGCGCTTTTCCGCGGCGCTGTAACTCTATTGGTTCCCGAGTTATGCGTTGGCTTCTTGGAAATTGTCGACATTCGACCTGGAAATCGGCGAAATTTTGCCTTCAATGACCTCTGGTGACCTGACCTTTGACCTTACCAAAAAATTGACATAAGTGATTTCCTCATTATTTTTGACGCTCTTTCGAACGCCGCCTTCCGCGTATCGCTACGTGGCCCAGGAGCCGAGTTAGAAGGGGAGGAGGGTGTTCAAACACCCCCCCCCCCCAGCAGGGCGTGGAAATCCAGGACCCCCAGCCGGTCGCGGGTTAACCCGCCCAGAGAATAAAACGCCGGGACCAGAAAGCGGCCTCATTTCCAGCAGTGCCTCCCATCCTACTCGGACTCACATGCGCAGTTTGGAGGGCACCTCCTCGGGCGGGGGCGGGGGCGGCGCGCGCTCCCCGAGCACCGCCGCCAGGGCCTCCTTCGAGTAGGGCACCGACGCCTCCAATGTGTCACGGAAGGCCGGGTCGAGCCAGGCGTACCCGACGGTGCCGCCGAGCGCCAGAGAGACGACACCGGCGCCGACCGTCACCGCCGAGACACTGCCCCTGGAGCGCGAAACGACAGACGGTCAGAAGCGGGGACACTGGAGGGACACCGCAGCCCAGGTCAGTCAGCCGAGACACCGCCCCTGGAGGGAGACACTGGAGGGGCGCCGCAGCCAAAGTCAGTCACCCGGGACGCCGCAACTGGAGAGAGCAACTGAAGAGATGGTCAGACCCTGAACCCAGGGACCCTGGAGGATCTGACCAGAGCCCAGGTCAGACGGTCAGACACCACCCCCTGGAACCGGACAGAACCGGGCCGGCGAGACACATCCTGGTCGGACGATATATTCGCTGATGGTATTGCTAGACAATGACAGCCTCACAGAACCACAAGCAAGCAGATGACCAAATTTGGTTCATTTGTGTTTTTGGACATATCGATTGCAAGATCATTTGCTCCCACTCAGGGCTGCGGAGTCGATGGATTTTCGGCGACTCCGACTCCGACTCCAGCTTTCAAAAACCAGCTCCGACTCCGACTCCGACTCCAACTCCCGACTCCGACTCCGCAGACCTAGCAGGGCTGCGGAGTCGACAGATTTTAGGTGACTCCGACTTCGACTCCGGCTCGGGTTTCTAAAATCGACTCCGACTCCGACTCCGACTCCGGTCACAACTGTCGACTCCGACCGACTCCGACTCCGACTCCGACTCCGACTCCGCAGCCCTGCTCCCACTTATCCCAGGAAGACTTAGCTCGATATAAATGATACAACTGCTCAGTGCTCACTCATCACTGTTCACACAGACACACACATCCACAGACAACACATTGGAAGGCAAATTTTGTGCTTTGGGTTCTTTTAGCCAAATTCTATTAAAACTAAGCTGGCAATAGTAACCATTGCTTTCTTTTCCCACAATGATTCGACACACTAAAAGACTTCCTGCCAGCATGCCACCAAAACACAATTAACAGCAGAGTAAGCCTGGGCAGTAGCATCACATTGAAAGGCCAGCTGCAGTCCTATGTCTGACTGTCAGTGTGACAGCAGTTTGCACTCACTTTTTCTTGGGCGCTGTGGTCTGGGACCTGGAGCTGAGCTGGCCTGGCAGTGCAGGGTTGGTGGATCCCACCTATCAAACAGAGCACATAACATAGTTACCATCATCAGCTTACTCTCTGGGAAGAAGAGCAAACATGATGAAATGTGGGTATGCCAAACAAGTGAATCATAAACTATGCTGATCAATTTTCAATGCTGTGAACAATGCAAAGTGTAGAAAAACAAGCAATGCCATCCAACAATTAAACAAATATACAAAGTTACATAACACATTTTGCATTTCTCTGAGCTTGCTAGGTTAAAGACTTACCCTGGATAAAACCTTCCTTGACACATGATTTGCAGCTCTGAACATGATGTATGTTATTCAGCTAAGGTGTTTTAGCTGATTACCTTATCCTGTAGAAAGATTGAGAAAATGAGACAGGACAGCTCATTGCCAATTTCCTTTTGTTGATAAAATGATAAGACATAATGTAATTACAAGTGAACTTAGAAATGCATACTATCATTAATACTATCATTATAAAAGTACAGACAAAAGGAGAGAATTAAGATAAAAGGTCATGAAATACCATTCTAAAACATTATTAATGCTTGTAACAATTCATTATAATACTCAAACAGCTACAAAACTGGAAAAGACAGTTTTGTAATTCTCTTTTAAGATTGCACCTAATGACAACAAAACACATGCAATAACACATTGATGGAAATAATGCATAGTAATAAGGTATGCTTAAATTAATGATGTGTCAGAAGATAAGCAAAACAAGTAAGCATTTCAGATAGGTACAGGAGTGCTAATCTAAGCTGAAACCTGTACTGTGCATATGTCGGATGTCCTGTGTCCATACGTCATGTACCTATTTGACAACTGCAATTTATTGTTTTCCATTACTTGCATAATGCATTTAACCATCTTTATGAAAACGTATCAGGGCATTATATGCATGAAAAAATCAAGCAAAATGAAGCATTAACATTAAAATTAGCAATGATTAATGATGTTAAGTCAATACCTATACTCTTATTCAGTATTGCATCATTCTAAAAAGCGAACCAATGTAAAATATCCAGCAAGAGCTAGCAAAAGGATCGAAATTCGCTAACTACAAGCCAATGGAAACTTGAAACAATTTTTTGAGGACCACCAAACTATCATAATTCCAAGGATAACAAATCATGACATGAAATCTGGCTGACAGCAAGACTATAGGTGTAGTGATTGAACAATTTGATCACCCAATTACATTATTGTCATTCATTCAAGAAGATCAACGACTGGTGGAGAGAGTCCAGCGCAGAGCCACGCGACTTGTCACTGAAATCCGGCATCTCCCGTATCAGGAGCGGCTGCGCAGGCTACGGCTGCCGTCTTTGCTTTACAGAAGACGCAGAGGAGACGTCATCATGCTCTACATGCTCATGACTGGTCTTCTGAACCTGAAGAAAGAAGACTTCTTCCAGGCTGCTCCATCGGCAAGCACAAGAGGTCATACGATGAAGGTGGCCAAACCAAGAGCTCTGACTAGAGTACGAAGAAACCACTGGAGCGTACGTGCGGTCAACGACTGGAACTCGCTGCCGGCTGAAGTGGTTCTCGCTCCGACCCTGAACGGGTTCAAGAACCTCCTTGACAGACACTGGTCGAGTCGTATGTACGATATCCCTACCATAAACTGAGTTTGAGCAAAGAGTACCGCATGAGCTCGACGAGATCGGGTCCAATAGGCCTCTGGCCTCCAATAGTCCCGCCAACATTAAGGTAAGGTAAGGTAAGGTATTTTTCAATCAGCAAACTGGCTAAAAGAGTTGGGGAAATATTATACTTTCAGTATTTCAAAATTGACACCACCGGCACCACCTCTTTTTAATGAATGTCTACAAGTGAAAAATCGACCATATGGGTAAAAATGAAACAACACACTACCGTAGCAAAACAATAGGAAAATGAGCTGAAAAACCAGAAGTTATTCTTTAAAGAAAGTCCAGCGATTTTGCCTGTATGTGTAGGGCTGCAGGGAAGAGAGGGCTGAAAATAACATTTATTCATACCAGCTGACGTTCTAGAAAGAATAAAAATTAAATTACGTCATCAACCATATTCTTACATGACGTTGCCTTTGTTACCCTTTGAAACCAGTTTTTACAAATATTTTGCATTTAATAATATACATTGATTTTTCATACTAAATAAAATATCAAAAAACGGAGTTATTCAAGACATTTTTTTTAACATCGTCAGAAAGCTCTTAATTTCTTGTCAACCTGAGAAAGTAACTACTGCGCCAGAAATGTAAATATTGTCTGATATAATATTTGATACCTGTATTTACAAATAATTAATTTAACGACGTATTTAGTACTGGTAAGCAGATTGTCATGTATGAAGGATACTCATACCTTTGTTTGTCAAATTACAAAATTATTGGGCATTTTTATCTGTATCTTTCATTCGTAATGAATTGCAGTTTGAAATACGACATAATCGATAAAAAATGTCAAAGATAATGTATCATTTTCCATATTTCTGCTGAGACCAATGATGCCACAAGTTCTTTTCAATAAGTGCTTTGTGTAGAACCTTGATATCAAGGGATGCAAGTGGGCGGCAGGGCAATTGTTTGTTGTGTTTGCGTGGCCGGCTGGTTCGTGTGCGGGGAGTGGAATCCGCGCTCGCAAGGCCCTATATACCCGCGCTCGGGTTCCAACGACTGGTTGAATATTTTCCCTACTCAACTCAAGGCTTCATTCATCTGCATAGTGGAAGGCAATACTTGAACATTTTACAGCGAGTCAAACGTGAACGGAAAAGAAAGCTAAGATGTCCAAGGTAAGATTTCAGAATTCAGGGTAACGCTGGGGCAGGCGTCACACGCTGATTTGCTTTTCTGGCTGCATTTTTCTTGATTAATCATAAATGGTTGCAAAATAACTGTCATTGTTAAATGATAATGGGTAAATTTTGGTTCTTGTGCTCAATTGCAGTGCCCCAAAATGCGTTCAACATGCAACCTACATGCTACAGTCATTCCCCATTCCATGCAGCCAAGGCTGCAGTCGGTCCGGCGATGACGAATGCCCGACGGCCGACGCTGACCCTTGTCAGGGGGGGGAGGGAGGGAGCGAGCGAGAGAGAGACAGAGACAGAGACCGAGATCGAGAGAGCAAGTGTTGAGCGAATTAATCGTTATGTCCGTGCTTCTTGCCCTGCATGTTTCTGTTAGAACCAGATTTTGACTCTGGACTGTAATCGCCATGCCATGTGTGGATTGTTCATGATGGGAATACATACATACACACAATATGCACCAATGGTGGCAGATGGTGATAATTATTATGATAATATTGGATATAAATATGGATAGGATTAGCTTTTATTCATGACACACTTTCTGAGGTCTTCTATCAAATCATGTACATAGGAATCAAATCAACTTTGTTGTAGTTATGTCCCCTACCCTGACCGGAATTTCCCCTCTGACACCCAAACAAAATGCCTACAGTTTTGGGACACTGCCCAATTGTCAGGTGATATGCTCTTTTCTAGAACAGGATCAACTTGGTTTGGATCTTGGTGCTTTAATTTTTAGATCAAAGTTAGTCAAGTCAGGAAATAGTTGTGGGTGGCCATATACTATATAGCTTCTCAACCTTCTCAACATACCTTCTCAACATACCTTCTCAACATCTTCAAAGTGCAAGATGTAACTACCTATGGTAGTGATATCAGAGGTGTTAGATCAGCTGAGTATGTGATGTCAGAGCCTCCCACTCATACTTCCATGACAACTTTGCAAAACTCTGAAATAGTGTAAAAGTGCCTGTCCCATAGCTCAGTTGGTGGAGTATTGGACTCCCGGTAGTGAGATCTCGGGTTCGGTTGCCTGGAACTGCTCGATCGGATGGTAGGGGTCGCGTCGGGGTCTATGCAACAAGCTGTGCTTAGTGTGAACTCCGGCTCTCAATACATCCATTCAAACATTCCAGGTAGATTTATATACAAAATTACCAAAGCATTTTGCTTCTTCTCCGACCTCGTTTTGCATACTCGAGGGCAGCGCTTTTCGAGGAGCGCTGCGGCCCGAAGGTTGAGACTTTGAATTGTGAAAAACGCCCGCCCGCCGCAAAATGCGCAAAACGCACGCCCGAAACGCCAACGCAAACGTCGCAAAAAATAAACGCTCGCCCGTCGTTTTGCATACAGTTAGTCTATGTTTATGAGACTGTCTAATGTCTATCCTGAAATCCATATCCACATGACAATGTGTGACCACATCTATGCAACTGTCACAGATTTAGCATGCTAATACATTCTATCTTTCATTAAGCTGGATAATTTGTGTACTTCTTAGGAGATCACATGCTATTATCTTGTCTGTGTGCCGCACCTTTGTTCTGGACAGTGCTGGAAATGAGGCCGCTTTCTGGTCCCGGCGTTTTATTCTCCTCGCGGGTTAATCCCGTCCAGCGTTTAGCCCTTCGGGACCCACTCAGGGTCGCGGTTGTTTTCGCCGCTCGCCCCAGTCGATATGCAAAGTTAATAGTCACACGAAGCTTATTTAGGGCCAGCCAAACCAGTCTAGTCTGGAGTTACTGTTAAATGTATGCATATAGGTGAAAGAAAAAGGTTTTGTAGAATCAATTAATTTCGAAGTCGTATATTCAGAAGCCCCAAATAAACTTCGTGCGACTATCAACTTTGCATCTCGAATGGGCCGAGCGGCGAAAACAACCGCGGCTCTGAGAGGGTCCCGAAAGGCTAAGCGCTAGACGGGGCTAACTCACCCGGAGAATAAAACGCCGGGACCAGAAAGCGGCCTCATTTCCAGCACTGGTTCTGGAACACTCCCTCTGAGTCTGGTACATGTTTAATTTATTTGATTTTTCAGGTTGAAATTCTACATGCCGGTTCTGGGAAGAGCCTCTTCACTCTAAATGTAAGTACTTTTCATAACGTCCAGTTTATCTATGTCGGGTTTCTACTAGCGGTTTACATCAACATATATTCACTTCAGCCAAATTAATACAGGATTCAGTAAGGCAAATATGGCGCGTGTGCCGCGAACGTATGAAGCTATGCAGTGCTGTAGTATCGAAATGTTCAACATTATTTCTCCTTGAGTAGGTATCTCTCTATCCTCCATCTCTATATCCATATCTGAACAGTATCTGTAATTGGACTTAGAGACTATATATAATTATTTTGTCCCGTATTGGAAAACTGAAACGCAGACTACTGACTCGCGCCAGTTACAGCCGCAGATTTGGCTCGGGCCGTCATCTCACTCGGTGCCACCCCGGCGGTCCAGTTCCTGACCCGGGTGGTTGACCTGTCCGGCCGGCCGGCCCAGTCGCGATGCTTGCCCTCTCGTTGGTCGACCGGCCGGCCGTCCGGTTTTTGCGCGATCCACCGTACATTCCTGATGCTGAGGACCGGTACGGCGGGTCGCGCCGCCGCCGCTCCCGGCGCCGGGCGCGGCGCGAGGAGGTCCTGAGCTGGTCTGCTCACGTGTCCGGAGTACAGAACTAATCCTGAATACCGGGTACCGGGAAGCGGCCGCAGACACCAGCGCTGTGTGAAAACGTCGCACGTTGGAGTCAACATGCGTCTGCTCGCTGGGTTTTAGAGAGGACTAGGGAGTGACACCGAGATTTACACATAATAATTTATAATTGTGACATTTATTCAACCATGAGGAATAAGCTAATGAGTGAATCGCGTGGCAGGAGGCCTCACTCATGCACCTATTTGTAAGTGTTGGGTTCAGGAGTTCATTTAAACAACTGCTGGCTTAGATTCCATTGGAGGTGATTTGTTTACACAAACACCGTTGAACTTGGCCAATGCTGAGACGTTAACATACGTGCCCCTTTAGGTACCAGGCGTCTCATGGCGAACCGATTAATCGGCAATTTGTCTGGAGGTCTGACACCAGACTGGCCAATTTGTCTGGTGATCTGGCACCAGAAGACGGTATCCCGCCCTCAGATTGCTGACATGACACTTCCCGGTAGAATAAACAAATAGCGGCGGCAGCGCTCTGATTAAAGGTCACCGTCTAATGGTGTGGGCTGTCGCAAGACGGTCTGTGCTCTGTAGGTGCACCCTGTAGACTAGAGGCTTTTGGATTTGTATTTTCTTACATTGGATTAGCTGCGTTAGTCACTAACTAATAGATTCATGTAGATTGCTACACACAATTGCGTTCAGAGGAATGTTAACGTTTTCGCAGATGACCATTGCCGTCCGGTTACCCTGAAACCCTATCCTCGCGTCGTTTATAGACATAGTAGTTATCGCTTCAAGTATACATTCACGATATCATTGTTTGATAACCGCTCTAAATCTACGGAAACCAGTAATGTTTTAATTATTCGCGTTATCGTTTTGTTTTCAAAACAAGAGTCTTGCGGGAATATTGCCGCTATGTATAACATAAAGCCCATTTATAAGACGGAATCTTTAGCAACTCCCCTTAGTAATTCACTCTGTTAGGGACGGTAATCACTCGAGGCGTGTTGTCGACAATCCACTCTGACCCGTTCGCCGCCACTGACCCGCAGGCGGCGCCGTCCACCTCCATTCTGGAGCTGAAGAAGCAGGTGTGTGAGAAGCGGAAGGGCCTGTACCCAGGCAGGGTGGACCTGAAACCCAAACAGCGCGGAAAAGGTACGTCAGGTCGAGCTGAGGCTGATGAGAACCCGGCGGCTTTGTGGTCAACTATGCTGGGACACGGCGACTTCTTTTCCAGCCAGATGCCCGCCTCTATATCTGACTAGAGATGGGGGAAGGGATCGCGAGGAATAAAATAGGTTCCCAGGCTGACTGAATGTATGGGTCCTGAGTGTTTGGATTATGTCCTCGCCTCTCGCGATTCCATTTAATGCAGATCACGACACTTTTCGGGCTGGTTACACCAAGTGGTTCACACTGCTTTGGCTCTCGTAATCCTTCACTCCCTCGACTCGTCTCTGGACCCTGACTCAATCCCCCTACTTCCCGGCAGGCTACGGCGACTCGGACACTCTGGCCTCGCTGGGTCTGCACGCGGGCACCAAGCTCTACCTGAAGGACCTGGGACCGCAGATCGGCTGGGTGACGGTGTTCCTGGCTGAGTACGCCGGACCTCTGGTGCTCTACCTGTGGTGCTTCACCCGGCCCTGGCCCCTGTATGATGCCGGAGCCGCCGCCAAGCCCGTCACCACCGCCGCCAAGTGAGGAGGGGAGGAGGAGGGTACTGGTGGTTTGATGTGGGATCCGCTAGGTGTCAGTACTGATGCTTGTGCTGGGGACAGTATTTTACACGATTTGATGTATGATTTTAGTCACTATAAATGTCGTATACGTAAAAATGCATACCCCAAGAATGCAACGTTGACCTAGACGTGAAAATGTCTGGAAAAATGCCGGTTTTGAACTCGTTGCTAGTTGTGTGCAGTGTGCACACTTGTCCGATAACAAACAACTAATCAGAGTCGTGACTCTTCTGACCTGCCATGACCCGTGGCCCAACCCTCTGCTTCTCAGGGTGGCCTGCGCCTGCTGGACGATCCACTACGCCAAGCGTCTGCTGGAGACGCTCTTTGTGCACCGGTTCTCGCACGCCACGATGCCGCTGTCGAACCTGTTCAAGAACTGCTCGTACTACTGGGGCTTCACGGTGTTTGTGGCGTATCATGTGAACCATCCGCTGTTCACGCCGCCGGCCCGGCCGCTCTTCATCACCGGCGTGGTACTGTTCACGGTGAGTTGGGGGGGGGGGGGCGGAAACTCACCGTGAGTCCGACGGAGTTTTGCTTTGAGTTGAGGGAAATCTCGCGGTGAATTGGACAGCTTTTACACATAGTGTTTATAACTGTTGAGAATTCATAGACCCGTTGAGTGTCTATACTTTGTGTCAGATATCCTCCCCAATTTAGCACACAGGCGCAAAACGTGTTTAGATGTTGCTTAAATCATGTCGCTAGGCAGGATGACGATAACTTGTTATGGCGATTGGTTTTTCGATATCTATTTCCCGACTCTTTTGATAGTTTCCAGCATATCTGTCAGTTGCCTCTGATGTGCTCTGTTGCCTGTTGGAAGATGAGATGAGCCCTTGCTGACCCAACACCCCCCCCCCCTCCCCCACCCCTCCCCCTCCCCCACCCCTCCGTCCGCAGCTGGGCGAGCTCGGTAACCTGAGCATCCACTGGGCGCTGCGTCAGCTGCGGCCGGCCGGCAGCCGCGTGCGCCGCATCCCCCAGCCCACGGTGAACCCGTTCACGGCCCTCTTCTCGGCCGTCTCGTGTCCCAACTACACCTACGAGTTTGTCAGCTGGCTCGGCTTCACGGTGATGACGCAGTGTCTGCCGGCGGGCCTGTTCACCGCCGCCGGGATGTACCAGATGACCGTGTGGGCGCTGGGCAAACACCGCAACTACAAGAAGGAGTTCCCCGAGTACCCGCGCGGACGAAAGGCCATCCTGCCCGGTGTGCTGTGAATAGACGGCCGCCGGAGATAGGGGGAGATAGAGATGGAGACCAGACTGAAGAGGAGACAGACTAGAGACAAGGGGAGACGGTGACGGAGACGGTGACAGAGACAGACTGATGACGCACAGAGAGATGGAATCGTAGACTCAGTTGACAGAGACAGAGACAGTGACAGACAGACCAACATAAACGCAATCGAGACGGGAGAAGCGTCGAGAGAAAGATTGGCGTGTAGTGTAGTGGATGGTTGGAAATTGAGGGAGGGAGTGGTATAATATACCTCTGGTATGTATCTGACCAGGGGTGCCCAGTACGGGGACGGGCACCAGAGCGGTGACGGGACGGCGCGGTGGGTTGGAGGGACGGGGCGCGGTGGGACGGTGTCACGGTACCTACGATTACCGCAACTGGGCATGTGGGGAGAGAATGGTGGATCCCTGCTGCTAGCTCACATCAGTCTGGCCTGAGATTACGAATTGTGGTGCAGTTTATTGATTTGAGACCAGTCGTTACGTGTGATTCAACTAGCGGCTCACTGTGGTCAATATTGAGCTTCGGGGGTAGCTTTGACCATTCCATTAGGGTTTCGGAAGGACATGGCTGACGACAGTCAATGATTTTAGTGGCTCAAGACTGGTCAATTTGTGTTATTGCGTCTCGTAGCATATTCGTTTGTTGTAGAACGTTGTGTTTGTTTGTCTCATGCCATATGGATTGGAGGAATACACGTGAAGTTGCCGCTGGTTTGGTCTTCTACGAATGTGCGGGATGTATGGTGCCGGTAAAAATAGAATGACGGCGGACTATGAGAGATTCAGCTTCGAAAGAAAGCGCCCGATAGTACAGAAACCTGTGGCATTACCTGCCTGGCAAAAGACAAGCTCAGAACAATAGCGGATAGGCCAGGGCAAATGACTACAGGTCAACTCTGTCGATAAGCTGAAGCGGCCACCTGGGAAAGGATGAATCAGGGCACTAAAGAGGAATGAATGTGGGAGGTGATGGGAATCCGGGCGTCCAGGGACTTACTAGTTTGCGTCGGGTATAGTATTTTTTCGCTTGGAATATTCGTGCTTCGCTTGGACAGATGTGAGATCAGTCCCACGCACAAGGGGGAAAAGCTCAAAAAAATGAGCGCTCACAAAATTGAGCGGGCCCCATTATGAAGGAATAGGCGAAACGATGGTATTTTACAATGCCTCTAGCGTCACACTACGGCAAATATCGTATCCAAATAAGGTATCAATGGCAAGAGAGAGCAACAAGGTTTCTTCTCGAACACTCGCCGTGATAATTAATATCGGTGTTTTTGGAAAGAAAATGCCCTAAAGACGCTCAACTTTTTGAGCGCCACTTGTCGTTCGGGACCGCGATACTCAATAAATTGAGCGCCACGACAGACGACAGTCAGCTGGCGCTCAAAAAATTGAGTGCCGGCCAGCATCTACACTCAATTTATTGAGCCTTCTCCGTGACAGGTGATGCCGGTACTGGCTGCCATTTTTGATGTTATGTTCGTTGAAATACGTTAAACTGAGTTGAAACAGAAATGCAGGAAGTTGAATGCTACGTGGTACCTAAACTTTTCACAAACCCATGGCATCATGTCACATTTTCCGCTAGTAGTTTTATCGGTCGCCTTTCGGATTCGGCACACCTCAAATAATTATACAGGGCTTGAATAATCCGTATGAATACTGTATTGATATTTTCTGACTGTACTGGGAGAAGGGAATACGTGATTACAGAAAGATATCCACCCACGCTTGAATATTGGAGAATTATACAGGAAAAACTGTATTGCCACGGTTACAACTTACAAGGCCATCGGCCGCAAACAAACAAAAATACTATACAATGTGGGTTAGATTCACAAACATCATCAAGTGTGGAACACAGAGACGAGCAAAACAACATCACATTATCGCATGCCAGCCCGGCCACATTGGAACCGGGTGACCTGAGACCGGAACCTGCGTCTTGCCAGCATACATCACAAAAGCAGGAGGCAGTGTCGTACTGCTTTGTTCCAAAATATGCCATATAACAAATGATATAAACGACCTAAGCTCGGACTAAGCTTATCATTATCAAATCCTTAACATGTAAAAGACGAATGGAAACATCGAGTCTCAGACCAGCAGTAGCAACCATCACAGTAGCAACATCACAAAGAACACGCGGCATTATCAGACAGCCGTTTTGTTATCGGGCTACAGGCGGCGACGGCGTGGTTGCAGACCAGCTGCGAGGTAGCGGCGTGCGGGCAAAAGGCGCGGGCACACCTCCATGTGGCCGTGCGGACAGTGCGCGGTCGGCGTCGCATAGTGGGCGGCATCGGGCTGTCCCGGGGCCGTCGAAGCCGCACAGGTTGTCGGCGCATGTGGGCGCGCGCGGTCACCACGGCCAGCTGCTCACCACCAGCACAGACTGCGCAGCGTCGCCGCTCCGCCGGCCAGGACACGCAGACAACCCTTCTTGCAGTTGCACAACACATCGCCAAACTCATTCACCTGCTCCACCATGTTGTTGATGTCACCGAGTCGTTCAAGTTGTGGCTCGTGCCGTCGAGCATGACCTGCCCGATCGGACACGGGTCAGCGGCTTCTGCTCCAGCGAAGTCTTCATCTTGGTGACGTCTTGCTGATCTCCACAAAGGCTGAGCAGATGACCTTACCCACAGGGACGGCCGACGTCCTCGCCAGCGAACGCTTGGTTGTGCAGACCTGCCAGAAAAAGAAAAGCTGTTTGGTGATCTCAAACGATTTTTTTTTATGCAGTGGAACAAAATGGAAAATATGTCATACAACAGGAACTAAAAAAAGATGCAGCCTAGGTCGTCTAAGAAATGGGTGCAACATTGATAAAATTCTTCCTTGAATGAATTCTACAAATGCTTTTGATAAAATGTGTGGTGATTATAAGGAGACCACTTTACTATAAAATTGCTCAGGATTCCCTATCTGGACCTGTCAAAAAATCCTGACTGCACACCAACAATGAGCATTAAATCCGAAAGCTCTACCAGGTACCTAGGGATAATTAAATTCTGATTCAGGGAAATATTTCACATCATACAAGTAAAAACCTTTACTATATTGAAACTGAAAATGTGATGCCGATCCAGTGACCTAAGGGTCTCAAAGTATAATAATGAATTAATCTATTATAAATTTGGTGGTGACTGCCAACTGGCGTCTGGCAGCCTAGACCTTGAGGCTTGAAAGTGGCCTTCCTTTTCCGTTGACTCCGATCCTCCAGATGGAAATGATATAAAGGATCATTTTTATCTTATTTCAAATGAGCCAGTCAGCAAAGTGGCTATCCTGTTTCAGCATTCACACACACAATAGTTGACTGTCAGTCTGTCATGCTGTCAGTGTTGTGAAGTAACGAAGGAGTTGAGTTTTGTTGATTATAAATTGTGATGTTATGTAAATGACTGGAAAATGAATGTGAAAACTATGGAAACATATTGGCAGAGTATTGTCACTTACTATCAGGACATATGAATAGAGAATACATTCAAATTAATAAGAAATGCCAAATATCAAGGTACTCAATCACTGATAGCAGTGGACTATCATATGTTTTAATGTCAATTATATGAAAGTTAAGACTGAAACTACCTTTTACTTCATCATACCTAATGAAAAATTGTGTGAAGAAAACATTCACAGCCTCTTTGAAGCACTTAGACCACTAAAAAACAAAAATTTTCACGTAAATATGTTGTGTCTCTTTCCCTCAAAACATCATATCGGATGGCGCCACTTTCGTCGACAGTTACTTATCTGCACGCAAATCGAGGAAAACGTGAATTGATTGACCTTTACGTGTTTCCAAATTTAAAATCACAGCATATTCAAACTTTTCAGTGTACCTTTTAACATCTAAGTATAACTAAAACGTGAAAAACTTACCTTCAACACAAGGACGACGACAACCACGCGACCGAAGACGTCGCGACGAAATAAACAAACGGCGCCGCCAAATGAAAAATATTCTCCGATATGGGTGATGTGAAATTGAGTCGCAATCATTTTGGGTAGTATGAAAATTGCTCTTTCCAACAGAACCCTAGTAAAAAAGGTGAATGGACGAAAAATAACTTTTATTTCGACATAAATATTGGCCTGTTTTTAAGGCATCCTGGTATGCCGTAAGATTTCGACCTAGAAATTGGTGTTCCCCCAATCATTGAAGCTTGAGCAGTGAAAAATATGAAAGCCTAATCTGTTTTGCATCATTAGTGATTCTCCTAGGGTGTTGCCATTCCTCCCTAGGTGTTGCGAGTTGCTTTTGCAAAACGTGTTCCTGAAACGGCTCAATTTTTTGAGCCCTCAGCATTACGCCTATGGGAGCCTCTGACGTCACACGCTCAATATTTTGAGCGCTCAATAATTTGAGCTTTTCCCCCTTGTGCGTGGGACTGAGATGACAGCGACTGAAAAAGAAAACAAACTCGACAAAGAAAATATAAAGGGAAATAAGGAAATACTTCAACAACCTCAAATATGGTAGCAACTTTGGTTTCCATATACGGCGCACTTGTGACGAGCTCGATTCCTTATTCGCGTGGACGTGGACGAGATAGGAAACCGTGGCAGCTGCTAAGTGGTAAGCATTTATTTTTGTTTGTGTAAACAATGATAACCGCAAAAATGAAGCCAAATATCAAATATGCCGGAAAGCCACGAAAACGCTGGTCGGTTGGCTCGACTGACTCACTCCTCCGGTCTTGCAGTCTTGCTCCGGTCCATCCACGACTTCAACTTCTGTGATTTACTTGAAATTTTGGCTTATCTTGATCTCATCATGTCAATGTCATCAACTCCGTAAAACCGTCAATATGCCACGCGATCTATCTCAATCTCAGTATCAATTCAAATAGCAGACTCTAAGGCGATATCTGATCTCAGACATAAGGCCACTATCTGATCTCAATCACTTATCAGGTTTGCAGCGCGCCCCTCAGTATTCAGTGACCACTGACTCACGGCTTCGGCTCGCGACTTAGGCCGCTGCGGGGCAGGGCCGGGCCGGCGGCCTCGGTCCTATCCTATCGACCGATACGATGCGTCCGCGCCGCCGACCCCTCCCTCACCTGGCAGACTGCCAGCCGGGGCGGGCGGCGGAGGGGGGGGGGGGGGGGGGAGGTGGCGTCAGGTCGGGGAATACCCGCCATATCCCCTGCGGCGCTTCCCGCCCACCCTAGCGATTCGCCGAACCGACTCAGTTCCCATTCGTCGGCTGAGAACGATCAGAATCAGCCGCAGCGGACGCTGTGCTGGGAAAGTGGAGTCTGCGTCGGCACAGACAGTCTACTCCAGTCTGTGACGTCACGATTGCAATGTGACGTCATCGCTCCGTCGTGTGACGTCACTTCTCTGCAGTCTCGGCTGACGGCCCGTCGTGAGGGAGTCCCGTCAGCAGCGGCGGCGCGGTCGGCGCGAATCGAGCTCAGCGCGCAGGCCAGAGCGGTGGACAAGGGTCAGTGTCAGTGAAGCTGCGGGTCGAGAGTAACGTTGGTCGGAGAGGCAGCCGAGTCAAGAGGATCAAAGTCAGCGGCCAGCGACCTCCACTGCCAGTGCCAAGCAGCTGCGCGCCGTTACACACCAACAAACAACAACAACTTTCCGCTGGTCAGGTGAGCCTGTGACTTGCCGAAATCAAAATTGCCGACCGACCGCAGAGTGCAGACTGCAGAGACAGGCGTCGCCTCAAGAAGGCTCTCTTCCGG